TGGGAGTCTGCCCTAGGATGGTGGTAGTGTCAGAAGAAAGGGGCATAGGTGGACAAGAGATTTTATGAAGGTAAAATCAGCATGACTTGGCCACAGATTGGGTCTGGGGCAGGGGAGGAGAGAGAATGAGTTAAGGATACCTAGGATTTCAAGTCTGGGTGACAGAGGTTAGTGGTGCCTTTGGCTGTAATAGGGAAGTTAGGGAGAGGGAAGGGTTTCAGGGAAAAGATAATGAATTGTTTTGGACATGTTAAGTGTAAATCGTTTATGGGGCACCTAGTTCAAGATTTCAAATGGGCAGTTGGAGATGCAAGTCTGGGGGTTAGGACTGGATAAATGGATATAAGAATCATCACCATCTGGTGCAGTGGATAGAGGTCTGGCCTTGGAGTCAGGAGGACCTGAGTTCAAATTTGACACTTACTAGCTGTGTAACCCTGGGCAAGTCACTTAACCCCAATTGCCAAAGCAAAAAAAAAAAAATCATCACCATGGAGATGATGGGCAGCTAGGTGGCACAGGGGGTAGAGTCCTGGACCTGGAGGAAGACCTGAATTCAAATGTAGCCTCCAATGCTTACTAGATTTGTGACTCTGGGCAACTTATTTAGCCTCTGCCTGTTTCCTCCTCTGTAAAATAAGGAAGTTGGACAGGTCCTCTGAGGTCCAACTGGAAATTATGATACTAAAGCCATGTCTGTATTTAACTTCCTGTTTGTACATATTTGTAGAATCACATTTGTATCTGTGTCTGTCCCTATGTGTAGACAGAGGAGAAGGTTGCTGACCAATTCCAAGCCTCCCTCTGGGACACAGCCATGAGGAACAAAGCAGAAGCTCCCCATACCACTCCCAATCCCAGAACCCTGAGCTGATCCTGGGAGAGCAAGGGAGGCTGGGGAAGGTGGTGAGGGAGAATAATAGGAAAAGACCTTTGGAATTAGGGGAAAGAATGGTGAGAATGGGCTGTGGAAAGAGTCCTGCCATAGGGAGATGACATGCTATGGTGTGTGTCCTATGTGATCTTTGATAGATCCAGTCACCTTTTTGAACCTCAGTTTCTTTTTCTGTAAAATAAGGAGAGGGTGGTTTCTAAGGTCCCTTCCAGCTCTAAATTTTATGATCGTAAGGCAAATATGATCCTTGGCTTAAAAAAATGATAAGGCATTAGATGACATCCAAGGTCTCTCCTAGATGACAAAACTGAAGTACAGAAAGGTGAGTGACTAGCTCAAGGTCATATAGCTAGTAAATGGCAAGAATCAGGATTTGAACTCAAATCCTTTGATTCCAAATCCATCCTCTTATTGTAGTTCTGTGATTGGGGAGCAGAAAGCATAGCACAGGAAAAATGAAAGAAGGAAGGCAGAGGGGAGGAGGAAAGGGGAGGGTGTTGGAAAATGCCCTGGACTTGAAACAGACCTGGGTTTAAACCCCTGCTCTGAGGTATATTTATTTGACTTCAGGTTATTTGATTTATTTGACTTCAGGTAATCTTAATCTCTCCAAATTTCAGTTTCCCCAATAGTAAAATGAGGGGATTAAACTTGGCTCTTCAACTGTCTTTAGTCAAATGGATTTATTTTAAAATGTGTGCTACCCTCAGCTGGCTCCTGGGAAACTGGGCAGTGCTGAGCCCCGCTCTTCAATGGAGACCTAAGATAGGGCTGGGATCCTTCCATCTCTTATCTCCAACCACTAGGTCCCCAGGGCCCCTGGGAGCTGGGTGGTATTTGGGGACAGATCCAAAGCTAGACCGAGACCCAATACTACAGTTAGAGTCAAGGCTCCAGGAAGTTTAAAGTTCCCATGTTTTTGGAAATCCTCTCACTTAAAAATTTGGAGGAAGTCTTCCCTCAGTGCAGGTTAAGAGCCATTGAAGTGCCCAGAATCCTTCTCTCTCACCTCCCACCTGCAGGAGAAACAGCTAGGGGACCATTTAGACCAACCTCCCTCCCTGTGCTGAAATCTCCTTTTATAGTCTCCTTGACTGGGTCATCCAACCCCTGCTTGGACCTGGAATGATCTATGATGAGCTTACTACTTCATAAGATAGCTATTGTGCCACAGAAACTTCTGATTGAGTTGAAACTTACCTTATTCCTCTCAGGACTTTCTCTGCCCTGCCCCCACCTCCACCGAGTTTCCCTTTGTTTCCCCACTAGAATGTAAGGTTCTTGAGGGCAGGGACTGTCTCTCTCTACCAGTATTTGTATCCTTAGCATTTTAGCTCAGTACCTTAGTAAGCACTTAATAAATGCTTGTTGATTTATCTCTGTGTACCATGTATCCCTTTCCCCAGTTATCTGGGATCATACAGAATACATCTTCACCACTCCTTAATGGCCCTGGTTCTTCCCTCTGAGATCACGAAGAATCTATCCTGTTAGACAGTTGAACACAGAGCTCAGGTGTTGCTTGTAAATCTTTTCTTCACCAGGTTCAATAACCAATATGGCTTCTCTCCCCATGCTGGTTCCATTTCCCTCATACAACCCTTCAAAGACTGGGAAATGTGACTATCTGGAAAGCAGCAAAGGCACCATTGGCCCTGAAGTTTTCAAGTCCTGGTTTTGTTATTGATTCTCGCTTTTCTACCATTGACTAGCTAGCAGGGTGACCACAATTCCCTTCCCTTCCCCTGGTCTGTTTCCTTCTTTCAAAATGAATTGAGTTGGACTAGCCAATCTCTAGGACCTTTCTGGTCCTTTCCTCAATGAAAGTCTCCTTGCCCCAGCTGGACCCCCTTGGGGAAGCCGAGGATATGCTCCTCCTGTCTCCCGCCACCCCACAGTAGAGGATTGGCACACACAAGCCGATGAATGTCTGACTGTATATGGGTTGGTTTACCTTTTCAGGTTTACCCTCAAATTTATTTTTATTTTTTCAATTGATAATTTATTTTTTTCTCCTTTCCATCTCCACCACCTCAAACAAAACAATCCCTCTTGTAACAAATAAGCAGAGTCAAGCAAAACAAAGTCCTGTGTTGGTCACGTCCAAAAAACATCTCCTTCTGCATCCTGGGTTCACCACCTCTGTCAAGCTTCATCATCAGTCCATGGAATGGTGAAATGTTGCTCCTCCTCCAGTTTCTCATACCTGCACCTCTCATTTGAGCTACAGGGAAAGGACTGGTCGAACTTGGGAGTGGTTTCTGATCCTGGTTCTGGCAATCAATCAATCAATATTTATTAAGCACCTACTATATGCCAACCTCCTGCCACTGCCCTCTGGTTCTGTTTCCTCTTCTATAATATGCAGTAGGACAACACAACAGCTCTGAAATTTTACTTGATCCATGACTTCATCCATTGTGCCTATGTTCTACTTAAACATTTTGTTCTTTTTGCCCCATTAAACTGCAATCCTCCTGAGGGGCAGGGACTGAACTTTCTCTTATCACCAGCACTGGTAAGTCCATTGAATTACATGAGCTCCGGTGTCAGAGTATGAGCTCCTGGGTGGGCAGGGCCCAGGGCCTTCATTCAGTTTATGTACCTAGAGAAAAAGCTCATCTAGGCTTTTTCGCTCCATCAAGAGTACTTTCTGCAGCACAGCACACTCGCCAAATTAATAACTGCCCAGGCAGGGGCCCTCATCTGAGGCCAGGCCCATCTGCTGTCTTTTAGACACACACACACACTCCTTATAACAAAGAATCCTACCAAAGCAGGGCTCCTGTGCTCCAGACTGAGACACCAGAAATTCCTTGATACCAACGGCTCACTCTCACCTCACCCTTGAAGTCCTGAGATCTAGTCCTTGGCCAGCGTGACTCAGACCCCAAGAGAGACCTTCACCTACCTTAGGAACTTGGATAAGGACACTGTCCCAAAGATGAGAGGGGGTGGACACCTGAAAATCTAACGGTCAATGGCTGGAATGGGTTTTCTGTGTGCATGTCTTGCTTCTCCAGATGGATTGTGAGCTCCAGGCTCTCTGCCCCGAGATGCATTTTTCCTGGTTTTGCTCCCCCCTCCCCTCAACCCGGATTTAGCCCAAGGAAGATGAGAAATCAGAGTCACATCTCCTTTGAAGAAAAGGAAACCCATAAGTCTAGAAGAACACATCTCAAAGAAAGCTAACAGGACCAGAACTGGAGAGTATAAGAAAACATTCCATCCTCTCTGCTCCTTTCAAACCAAATGAGGTAATATTTGTAAAGCACTTAACATTATGTCTGGTACGGAGTAGGTGCTTAATAAATGTTTATTCCCTCCCTCCTTTCTCCACCCATCAGGAGGGACCTCTATAGGAAGAAAAAGGTCCAAAGGGGAGGGCAGGTGGTAGAAATAAAAGCTTCTTGTCCTCTCAAGTCAGGAAAGAAGCCATTCCTTTCAAGCACTTAAAGACCCTTCAACTCTCCCATTAACTCACCAACTCATTTTCTTCCCTCCTCAGGTATCTGCAGATAGGGTACTGGATTAGGAGTCAGTAGACCTGGGTTCAAGGATCACCTCCTACATGAAGCCTTTCCTGATCTCTCCTATCCCCAACTGCTCCAACTACCCTGTACTCATTTTGTTTAAATTTTGCATAGACATAAATGTTGGCTCCACTCAGAACATAAGCTTCTTGAGGGCAGGGATTGATGGTTTCACTCTTGTCTTTGTATTCCAGTGCGTGACACATACTAGGTGCTTAATAAAAGCTTGTTGATTGATTCGCTGAGTACTAAAGAGATGTGAACTAAGGATCATTCAGGCAGCTAGCTGTCCCGGTGGATGACACACTGGACCTGGAGGCAGGAATACCTATGTTCAAATCTGATCTCAGACACTAGCTGTGTGATGACCCTGGGCAAGTCACAACTGTTGCCTGCCTCAGTTTCCTCATCTGTAAAATGGGATAATAATAGCACCAACCTCACAGGGTTGTAGTGAGGATCAAATGAGATCCTATTTGTGAAGTGCTTGTCAACCTTAAAGCACCATATAAATGCTAACTATTATTCATCCCCACCTGCTTCCCTCCCTCCCACCCTTCCCCCACCCCAAGCCTTCTCTTTTCTAAGCTAAACATTCCCAGCTTCAACTGATCTTGTCTGGAATGATCTCCTGTCCCTCTGCCACCCTGGCTGCCCTCTGCTGCTAGGCACAGGATGGCACAAGAACACAAGAAACAGGGCATTTCTTTTCTTGTTCAATAAGTGATTCTGCAGGGAGTGATACCACTTGTGCTTCCATATTTACATTGTGATTGGAGCTGTTTCAGCACTCATCAGAGGGGGCGCCCATTACCCTTGGAGGCCGTATTTAAAAATTTAAAAAAATGAATTTCATTCATGCGCACAGACAGACAGACATCTCACACACATATGTTCCCCTCTCTGGTTTGGAAGAGTCCCAGGTGGCCCTGACTACTGGACCCTCTTGTATTGTAGTTCCATTGTGGTGGCAGAGCTAACTGAGGAAACATCTCTGCCTGGGGCATGGGGAAAGAAGAGTCAGGTCCTGTCTGGGGTTTCCTCTTAGCTTCCCCCATGTGGGGCTGACAAGGAGCACTCAGTTCCTGAATGCCCCCACCCCCATCTTCATAGCAGCTGGGGGCAGTGACGGCTGTGGTCTCTGCTCCTCCCAGGAGTTCGGAAACAAAGCACCTCCTAAGAGGAAGGGTTCCCTCCCATAGGGACTGTAGCCTCCCTCTATGACCAGGGCCAAGGACAGCTTGGCTCTTGATTCTGACCACCCAGAACATATACAGGGATGAGGTGCTTGGCCAAAGAGGACTCTAACAGGTTGGTGCTAACTGAGAACGTGGGTGAAGGCAGAGCTGAGGGGTTGGGGAAGGCATCTTGACAACTCTTTCTCCATGTCACCTTGATGTCCCCACTGGAGCCAGTATGGGGACCTGCATGGGGTACTTTCTGCTGGTCTCTGCCTTGCACTCCAACTTCCTACATATACCACCAGCTCTCAGAGGGCTTTCTACATATTTACAGGCCAGGCCATGGGGCCCAGTGGCCCTTCCCATGCTTGGCTGGAAGGGTAGGAATGGGCTGGGGACACTGAATCTTTCAGGGTTAGCGTCCTCCTCTGCCAGGGCGTGTCTTGGGCTCCACAGGGGTGAGGACATCATTGGAAAAGCCATTTTCGGAACACATGGAGAGCTCATCCGTGTTCTCTACACCATCGCTGATTTCTGAGAGTTAGGAAAGGAGAAGGGTAATTAATATATGTTATGTACATGCTCATGAAACAGAAGAGATGAGAAATAAAGGAGTGGGGAGCAGGGAAGAACGCCTGGCCAAAGACACCTCCACCTGGCCTTGGGGAGGAGGCAGGCAGACTGATACTGATGTCAGAGACACCCAATCTCTGGGTGAAGTGGGGGAGGGTAAAGACTCTGGCTCTAGCTAAACTGGACATCTATCCGCTAAGCTTATAGCAAGGATTCTGTTCAGGTGCCTCCCAATATCCTCATTCAATAACTCAAATTGCAAACCTTAAAGCACTAAATACTTGCTTCTTTTGTTATTAATTTATTATGTGACAGGGAATAGTGAGGGACAAGTCTAGAGAGACCGGCTAGATGCCATCAACAGCCCTGAATACCATGAAAGGTGAAGGGGAGCCACTGAAGGCTGCTGAGAGGAGGAATTCTGTGATCAGGGCTGTGTATTAAGAAGATGTAATGGAAGGAATCCTGGACTGGAGTCCGACGGACCAGGTTTGAATCCTGGCTTTGCTCCTTCTGAGCTATGTGATCTTGGGTAAGTCTTACAATCTCTCTGGACCTCAGTATCCCATACGTAAAATGGGGGAGGCAGTCAGACTACATCTTGAAGGCTCCTTGCTGTTTTAAATTCTTTGTTTCACCACAATGCCTTGGACTAAGGGAAGGAGTCTGGAAGCAGGGAGCCCAGTTGTGACCAAGGACAAATGAGAACTCAATTAGTTGTTTCAGACCTTTATCTCCAGAGACTTCTAGGGGAACATTTCAGGTGGAGGGGAGGAAGAGAGAGAGAGGGAGACAGACAGACAGAGACAGAAACAGAGAGAGAGAGATGCTGGAGAGAACAGAAGGAGGGAAGGGCTAGAGAGGCTCTGGGGAGGGAGAGAGGGGAAGGGGCAGGGAGAGCCTGGGGGGGAGAAGTGGAGATGGAGGGAAAGGTCACCCAAGGAGAGAAAGAAACATCGGTCGTGGGATAGAAGGGAAGGGGATAGAGAGATCTTGAAGGGAAGGGGTATGTGGGTGTAGGTGTGGTGGGGAGGGGCCCCAGGGGTGTTCAGGGAGAGGAGTTCTTTAGGACAGAGGTGTCAACCACACTGACTGCTCCCCACTGAGGCCTGACCAGATAAAAATGTAATTAGGAAATGTTTAACAATAAATAAAAATGAAATAAATCATAATGCTAAAATGTGGTTTTCAAAGTCAATATGCACGCACAGGGATCCTTATATATAGTTTTGTGACTGGATTTCTATTTGAGTTTGACTCCATTGATTTAAGGGATAGAGGGGGAAGGGAGGCTCCTTAGAGGAGAAAACAGAGACCTTAGCAAGGAGACAGAGGATCAGGAGGAGGCTGCTAGAGCCAGATCCAACAGGCTTGTGTCCATTGTTAAATTCTCAGCAAATCAGGGCTTAATTTACTATTTTGTTGATTGTCTAGACTTAAGAAAGTGATGGAGAAAATGTTAATAGCGCAGATTAAACTAAATTAAAAGTGCATCCTGCATACATTTCCAAGAGGTAATTAAGAGGACTGGAGGAGGGAGAGAGAGTCTTTTCTCTTGAGAAAAGGGGTAACATGGAGAATTAGGGGGGCCAAGGAAGAAAGTCAGATTCGCAGATCTGCAGTATTCATAAATTCATAGGTTCAGAGCTGGAAGGGACCTTAAGAGTTGTCTAATTCAACCAGCACATTTTTTCTTTTTTTAAAAAATCAATCAATCAATTAACTTTTAGTTTTCAACATTCACTTCCTCAACCAGCACATTTAACCAATGAAGAAATTGGCTTCTTCAGAGAAGTGACTTGCCCAAGGTCCCACAGGGAGTAAGGAATAAAGTTGGGAATTGAACTCAGGTCTTCTGACTCTAAGGGCATTTAGGTGGTACCATGACGCACAGAGGTCGGGCCATCAGGAAGACTCATCTTCCTGAGTTCCATTCTGGCCTCAGACACTTTTACTAGTTGGGTGACCCTGGGCAAGTCACTTAACCCTGTTTGCCTCAGTTTCCTCATCTGTAAAGTGAGCTGGAGAAGAAAATGGCAAACTACTCCAGTGTCTCTGCCATGAAAACCCAAAATGGGGTCATGAAGGGTCAGATACAACTGAAACAACTGAACAACAACAATAGGGATTTGGAGAGGCAGAAGTGAGGAGTGAGAGCACGCTAGGCATGGAGAAGAGCATGGACAGCTCAGAGGTGGGAGAATGCCATGCAGGGGAAGCAAAGAATTCATTTCAGCTGAAATGTCGACCATGTGATGGTGCGTGATATCAACAACAATTGAAGTCAATAAGCATTTATTCTGCACCTTCTTTGCGCCAGGCACTGTTCTAGGCACTGAAGATTCAAGAAAAGCATAAAGCAATCCCTGCTCTCCAAGAGCTCAAGGGGCAAGACAACCTGTAAATAACTATGTACAAACAGGACACAGACAGGATCAACTGGAGGTAATAAGAACCCAATCTAGAAAGATAGGTCGGAGTCAGATGGTGAAGGATTTCAAATGTCAAGCAGTGGTGGTTGTCTTTTGTCCTGGAGGCAAGAAGGAGACAGGGGAGACACTGGAGTGAGTGAGCACCTGTTTAAACTTTTGCTTTCGGGATGCTGCTTTGGCAGCTGTCTAGAGGGTATAGTGAGGAGGGGAGAGACTGTAGGTGGAGACTCCTGTTGGGAATCTCTGTAGTCCAGGGGAGAGGTGATGAGGGTCTGAACCAGAGCGAAGCTGTGTGAGTCCAGAGAATGGGACACATGTGAGAGATGTTGGATGGATGGGACTTGGCAACTCATTGGATATGGGGAGTAAGGTTGAGAGAGAGAGAAAGGAGGAGCTTAATAAACAGTTGATGAGAATTCATTCATTCATCTATCAACCATTTATTAGTCAGCAACTCTGGTGTGCAGCACACCGTTGGGCACGTAGTAGGTGCTGAAAAAAATGCCAGTTGACTGAATGACTGACTTGGCCCTGGGAAAAATACAAAAATAATCTATCTTCATGTAGCCTGTATATGCTCCAAGACCCAGTTCCAATGCCTCCTCCTTCAGGAAGCCTCCCTAATCTCCCCTGCCAAGTGATTTCTCCTTCCTTGGCACCTTGGCACTCTATATTCCTCTTATGCTGTTACCATATTCTTATTTGTGTTTTAGTTTTCTGTTCTCTCTGGACTTAGCCCACCTACTAGACTGTGAGCTCCCCGAGGGCAGGGAATGAATCTTTAATCTTTCTATTATCTCTCTATACACAGTAGGTGCTTAATAAATGTTTGTTGTTGTAACTTGTGTCTCCTCCAACAAAGTACTCTGCACACAGTAGGGGAGTAAATATTTCTTGAATAGACTACATTAATAAATTGGGGCAGGAGAAGGCTGCTCTTATCTTCTTGACTGGGGGTCTATGATACCCTATTTGTCTGTGCTGGTTCCCTCACTAGTCAATGGGCTTGGGGACTGAAAGATACTGGTAAAGGGGCCAGGAAAGCTCAGGACCCTGGGGGTGCCAATGAAGAGGACCATCCCCTCTAATCCCTCAGGCTGAGCTGTCCAACTTTGGGGAAGGGTGTTGAAATGGGGAATTCTCTATAAGCTGGTGTCAATTCTGGACCAAGCCCACCCAACTCTCCCTTCTGTTTGAAGACACTTTTAGTTGATTTTGGGTGGAGACACTCTGGAGCATCACAAAGTAAGATCAGGCAGTCTCAATACTTTTTAATGAAAACATTCTTGTCAATGCAGTTGTGATCCCAGCAGGAAGATGGGTTTGCACAGAATGATCCACGGTCTTTTATCTTCTCTAGTCAATGATAATGTAGGGTTAGGGTTCAGTCTGGGACCAGAATTAAGGAATCAGGGGAGATGGTTTCATTAACACCGTGCTCAGGCCAATCACCTGGCTTCTTTTACTCTTGAGGATGTAAGGCAGCACTGCCTTCTTCTTCTTCTTCTTCTTTTTTTTCTGGCAGCACTGCCTTCTGAAGCACTTCTGAAATAGGGGGAGAGGGGTGGTCTAGGAACATGGTTCATATTGCCACCTAGTGGGGTAGAATGAAAGAGACCAGACCTGGGGGCTTGCTAAGATGGTCTTTAGTGGAGCTTAGAATCCTCGAATCCAAAATGACAGAACATAGAATGCTGTATCTGGAAAGTTCCTTAGAATACAGAATGTCAGATCTGACAGGGACCTTAGAAGCCAGAACGTCAGAGCTGGATGAAAGGGGTTTTAGAACCCAGAATGTCTGAATTGGGAGGGCCTTTAGCACAGAGACCTTATAACAAAGAATGTCAGAACTGGGAGGAGTATTAGAACACAGAAATGTCAGAGCTGGGAGGGTCCTTAGAGCCCAGAATGTCAGAACTGGGATGGGCCTTAGAACATAAAATGTCAGAATTAGGAGGGACATTAGAACACAGAATGTCAGAGCTGTAAGGGTTTTCTTTAAACAGAAGATGGTGGGAATAGTAGGAGCATAGCAGAGAGCTTTTGGGTGTGGATGATATGTTGAAAAAGACTGCTGGTCTTTCAGTCTATAGAGACCTAGAGTTTAAACCCTACCCTGATGCTCACTAGCTGTGTGACCATGGTGAATCACTTAGTCTCCCTGAACCTCAGTCTTCTAATCTGTAAAATTTGGATAATACCTGTCATACCTCCCTCATAGGGTTGTCAAATAGCTCAAATGATAGAATTTTTGTGAAGTGCTCTGTAAAACTTAGAAACACTATATAAATGTCAATGTTGTTATTAAAGAAGGAAGAAAAAGGTGGCATCATGGTGGGAGCAAATTTAGACTGCCTGCCTAGCTTCCTGCCAAAAAAAAAAAAACCCAAAAAACCAAACCAGGACAGAGACAAGATATAGAAGCAGTGTGGGGGTGGGGGAGACCTCAATTCCCCAGTCATTTGCTGGGCCTCTTTTCATAAGGAAACGTTTTTGACTTGCATTAATGATGATTTAGAAGAAGGCAGGAGTGGCATCAGTGATTGTTATTCTTGATCTAATTCTCCCAAACAAGTTGAAATGACGGGATTCTTAAGAGGAAGTATTGCAGCCAATCCTCCTTGGAGTATGGGCTAGAGGACCAGAAAGCTGGGGGTACAGATTCATAGGCATCTTAGATTTGGGAAGAAGAGATTCCCAACGGTTTGAAGAAAGGATAGCTCAGATCCTCTGGCCTATAGGGTACGTCATTTCATGATGGACGGGAAACTCTCAAGAAAGAAAGCCTACAAATACAAACAGAAATCATTCCAATGGGGAAAAAAAGAGAAGCTAGCTTTGAGTTAAACTTTGAGACCCTCTGATTTACAAAAAAAAAATCAACTGAGTAAGTCCAGGATGGGAGAGGTATAGCTGGACTACAGTCAGTATGTAAAGGAGCCAGGGATTTTCATGGACTGCTTAGCTAATGTAATTCAATAATATGACAAAGAAGCTAAGAGAACAGGACATAGCAGAAAGTCTAGACCCGAGAGCAAAGGGTCTTCACTTGGGGCCCATTAACTGGCTTATATGAATATTTTTAAGGAAGCTAGTAGTACAGTGGATATAGCACTGTGCCCACAGTCAGGAAGACCTGAATTCAAATCCAGCCACAGACACTTGCCTAGCTGTGTGACCCTGGACAAGTCATTTAACCTCTGTTTGCCTCAGTTTCCTCAACTACATAATGAAGATAATGATAGCACTTACCTCGAAGAGTGTTGTGAGGATCAAAGGAGATACTATTTGTAAAGTTCTTAACACAGTGCCTGGCACATAGTAGGTGCTATATAAATGTTTATTCCCTTCCCACTATTTTGGTAATTCTATTTCAATAGAATCTGTTTCCTTTGTAACCCTATGTAGTTCATTTTTATGCAATTAAAAACATCATTCTGAGAAGGGGTTTCCCCAGACTGCCCAAAGGGTCTACGACAAAGCTTAAGAACTAGAGTGAAAACAGTGAGGGTCCCACTCTTCTCAGCTCTCATCAGGCCACATCCAGAACAATTTTGTTGTGGGTACCACCTTTTAGGAAGGACTCTAACAAACTGTTAACAGTTAAATAATAAAACCGAGCATCATCTAAACAAGTGATTTATTTAGCAGCGCATGTGGTTGTAAAGCAAACCGGGCTCAGGGCTTTCAGCAGCCAAGAACTGAGACGCTGGTTGACTTTGAGACTTCATTTCACAAAATGGTAGATAAAGCAAAATGGAGTCATTGATGCTATTTCAAGGTTACAAAACTGAAGAGTGTCCAGAGACCATCGATGGGCGGAGGACTTGAAACCATGTCACATGGGGAGGGGTTTAAGGAACCAAGGGTATTCAGTGTGGAGGTGGTAAGGCTCAGGGCAGATGGGAGGGCAGTCTCCACTATCTGCAGGGTTGTCATATCAAAGAAGGGTTAGATCTGCTTTGCTTGGGCTGAGACAGCAGAATTGGGCTTCAATCAATGGTACTGAAGAGGATTTCAATTCAAGTAAGGAAAAACTTCCTAATGGAGAGTCGTCCTAGAAACCCCATCCCCCCGGGTTAGTTACAGGAAGGCTGAATGAACGATTTTGGGAATATAAGAGGTGGAATTCATGATTCAGCCAAGGGCTGGACTAGATGCCTTCTGTGGTCCCTTCCAGATCTGAGATTCAGTGACTGTGAACGCAGAACACAAAATATTCAAGCTAGAAGAGAACACAGAACACAGAACATCACAGCTCGAAGGGAGCTTAGAACCTAGAATAAGAAGGCTCAGAAACAGAAGGAATCTCACAGGGCAAATATTCCAACTTGCTCATTCTACAGATGGGGAAACTGGGGTCTAGAAAGGGAAGTGACTTTGCCCCAATGACACACATACAACCAGCAGCCAGTGGCTCAGTCAGGTCCAGAACTGAGGTCTCCCGAGGGTCATCTCACTCCCCTTTATCATTGTGACTTGTGAAATTCAAATCCTTAGGGCTTGTTAGCCCAGGATGAGAAATGTTGGTTGAATTTATGGGAAATGTCTATCTGGGCCATTTGCATATAATCTGTTTCCAGAACTGTGTATCTCAAAAATGTGTGAGACTGGTTTTGAGGACTGTGTGAATAGTGCAAACCTATCTCTGTTGACAGAGGCACAACTCAGAGTATGTGTTCTACTCACGGCTGTATAAAGGGCAGGATATTCAGAAAGATGGGCCCATACACACACACTTCTACACCAGGCTTTCCCCATGATAGAGTCCATCGGCTAGGACATATCTGTCTATGTTGTGGAGGTAAGGAGCAGCTACTAAAGAGAGACATTCTTTATGGTAGGCATTCTTAACCTAGGGTCTATGACCTTTAAAAAAAGTTCTGATAACTATTTCAATATAGTTTCCTTTGCAATATTATAGATTTTATTTTATGTATTTAAAAACATGATTCTGAGAAAGGGTCCATAGGTTTTACCAGACTGCCAAAGGGGTCCATTACACAAAAATGATTAAGAACCCCCGATTTAAGGGATGCCCTTTCTCAGGAAAGCTGGGATAGGGTACCTGCTCCCCTTTTCCACATTTCCCACCTCCAGCTTTATCTTTCCCAGATCCCTCCCCCACAGCAGGTTCAGAGGGCAGATCCCGCGGCTCACCTGAAAAGATCAACTTCTCTTTCATGATCTTGACATCACGGCTGGTCCTACGCACAGCTGCACTGAGCATGATCTGTTCTGGGTTGTAGGTCCGGATGCTGCCCAGTCGCCACCTATGGATGGGAAGAAGGCTGAGGGTGATGCTCTACTGTTTTGAGTGGCCTGGGCCTAAGCCCTGAGCCAGTGTGCCCTGCCTGCATAGTAAGGGCCAGTCAGGGTCAGGTTCAGGAAGCCTGATCATAGGGCTTAGCATTTGGGTCTCAGGTCTTGCTGTTTCCTCCCTTTCCAAGAAAGAGACCCCAAGCTACAGTAGTCGCTCTGGAGTAGAGTATTCCAGAAAGCAGAGGGAAACTAAGAGTCATAAATCATGTTCTGTCAAAGTTAGAAAGCTTCTCAGAACACAGAATGCAGAGCTAGGAGGGCCCTGAGAGGTCATCTTCTGGTCTAGAGAAAGAACTTGAGGCTCAGAAAGGGCCATGACCAAGGTCATGGAATAACACAGCCCAGTCTAGAACCGAAGCATCCTGTTCCCTAGCTCAAGGCTTCTTCCAGCATACATCTCACGCTCTGAGGGGTACACTGTGTTTGTAAATGTCTAGCCTATCCCCTTACCCTTGCAAGGGGTCTGCTTTAACAGAGGTCATGATTACAGGGGAACTAATAATTAACAGGGGTCTCTTGTTGTACAGTGGCCTACTATAATAGAGGCACTATTTACAGGGAATCTATAATCATTATAAGAGATCACTACTATAGTGACTTGCTGTAATAGGGGCCTAATATAAGAAACACTAACTATTAAAAAAGGCCTGTTATGTATTTGAAGGGTATACTACAAAAGGGGCCTGCTATGCCAGCGATCACTACTACAGTGAGTGGCCTGCTACAATAGGTGCCTAGTATAAGAAGAACCTATTGGAACAGCGATCACTATTACAGTGGCATGCTATATAATAGGGGCTGAATATAAGAAAGGCTAGCTACTAAGAAAGGCCTATTACGTATCTGAAAGGTATACTATAAGAGAAGCATGCTATATCATCGATCACTACTACAGTAGCTTGCTATAATAGGGGCTTCATATAAAGAGTCTGCTATTACAGAGATCTATGTTATTGATAACATACAACCATAGGAATCACTATTACAAAGGCATCAGCTAGGACAGGCTACAGTATAAGAGGCCCACTGCATAGAAGATCTGTTTTAACACGTCTTTATTAAAGGGGATCAATAGTGATTACTGCAGGGCAGAAGACATTGCCAATAACAGATGTGGTCTAGCTAAGATCTACTGTAACAACTATCAACCCGAAACTGGGGCCTTTTGGAACTGTGATCTGATCTATGAGGTCTCTGATGTAACAGAGATTTGCTATCCAGCAGGTATGCACTAGGCACCAGGGGTCTGCTCTAACAGAGGTATGCGATTAGAAAAGTCTCTAGGCAGAGAATTGGCTGTAATAGGAGTGAGCTAAAACTCACAGTCTACAGCACATGGGGTCTACTATAAGAAGAATACACTGAAAGGGCCCTGCTATAACAAAAGTCACTGTCAGAGGGAGTCTTCTATAACCTGGAGGATTATTATTCAAGAAGGTTTGCTAGATCCAGACTTGGGTATAAAAGTATTTTATACCCAATATTGGGTATTTTGTATAAAATATAAAAGAGGCTTACTGGTTTGATAAGGGGTTGTTATACTGGGGTTCACTACAACAGGAGTCTACTATAACAAGCTTTGTGGGGCTGGGCTATCGTGACAGGGAGTCTGCTAGAATGGAGGGGGGGGGGGGGGGGTCAGACAGCATCTACTTTTAATGGCTAGCGAAGAAGGAACCAAGAGAAAGAAGGGAGGACAGTCTTGTGGGGGAAGAGGGAGGAGCAGAAGAGTGAAAGGGGAGCAGAGCTTGTCACCAGGGAGACAGTGCTCCTCTGCCTCTCTTCTACCCCCAGTGCTAAAGCAATGTGACAATCCCAAACTGCTCTTCAAGGGGAGCTACAGTCTGAAGCATTAACCAGCCACGCTGAGGGTGTTCCTCTGATGGCTAAGGGAAAGCTAAGCAAGGAGTAAGAGGTGGTGGAGGAATGGCTTTGAGGGGAGGCTGGGGAGGGGGGTATCGAGATGGGGCACGTATGAGTAAGGGAGAGAGAAGGGGAAGGAGGCAAATGACCAGCGAGGCCTTTGGTTCCATCCTTTGCTGGGGGGGAGGGGGGGAAGGGACGATTGTTATGGGGACGCAAAGAATGCTAGGGCTCTTCTCCCAGTCAATGGCTTATCCAGGGAGTAGGGATAGGCTCCTTCTCCACCAAAAATCAAATGGATCATTTTATAAATTAATTATCCACAAAAAAGGGTAGAAGGTGAGTTCTGGCTTAAAAGTAGGTATAAATTTGCAGGGGTATTGCTAAGAACATCCCAGTGGGCTCCATCTCAAGTGACCCTTCCCCTCAACATATAAAAATCTGACTTGGCATCCAAAACAAATTAGAGGAATAGTACTTTATGAAAGTGATTCTTCTTTTTATCAACGAGGGTTCTCTTTACATGTCAGCTTCTCTGACCAGTATTTAAAAGAATACAGATCTGAAGTACCCAGGCAGAGATCCCCTAGCATAGAGAAGCCTGCCCCATACAGCTATAGCCAGGGGCAGGAGCCAGACCTTCCTTCCCGTCCTCTGAAGGCAGGGAAGGTTTGGACAACATTGTAAAAGATGGAGGTTGGAGGGCAGGAAGCATTTCCTGCTAGCAAGGGCTGCTGGGCAGTGAACTGGGAAGGAGCGGGAAAAAGAATGAGGGCAAGAGGACCCTTAAACCGTGCTAACCCAGCCACAGACACCTGGAATGCCAGAGGAGGAAGCATCTAGGGGATCAGCCAATGCAACCTCCTCATTTGGCAGATGGGCGAACTGAGGCCAAGGAAGGGAAATGACTTGCCCATGGTCACATAGAAAGTTAGTGGGAGAGCTGATATCAGAACCCAAAATCTCCCTAAAGGAAGAGGTAAGGTTAAGGAGATTGCGGGTGGGGGTTGGAAAAGAGTTTTGGAAACTCTTTTATAATCAGGACAGTGAAGGACAGAGAACTATGAGGATAGGATGGGCAGAGGGGAAGAGAGAGGGAGAAATCCATGATCACTGATAGAGAGAGAAGCAGAGAGAGTGGCAAGCAGAAATTAATCTATATCAGGGGTGGAGGAGAGAGACAGAGAAGTGGGAGTGAAGGGGAGAGGGAGAAAAAGAGAGAGGGAAAGGGGAAAAGGGAAGAGGGGAAAAAAGAGAGAAGGAAGGAGGGAGAGAGAGATAGGAGAGGGAGAAGAAGGGAAGGAGAGACATATAGAAGGGGAGAAAGAGGGAGAGGAGAGACTGAGCCATGTGTCCAGGGTATTCCAGAACTGTGCTAGAACTGTGCTAAGTGCAATGCCAACCACAGCCTACCAGACACCACCACTGTAGAAAGTCTGGTCTGGGAAGAAGCCTACAATTAGCACCTGTGCTTTAATCCCACAGAGCTCCAGAGCTCCCCTGCCATGCAGCACAGCCCACATCTCCTGAATGGCTGGGCCATGGGGCTCACTGCTCCCTCCATTTTGGCCGAGGAAAGGGCCTAAGGCAGTGGTTTTTAATCTGGGGTCTGTGAACTTTAAAAAACAACAACCATATTTTGATAACTGTATTTTAATGTAATTGGTTTACTTTGCAATCCTATGCATTTATTCTATGAAATTAAAAATGTGACTGAGAAGGGTCCACAGGCTTCCCCAGACCGCCAAAAGAGGTCCAGGACACAAAAATGAAGGGAACCCTGAAAGGGGACAGGGTGGGGAGACTGAGGCAGCCTTCTCCTCTTTTGGGGATCTAAAGGAGATGTCAGTTGGAACTCCAATTGACAAAAGCAGTGGTTTTTCCTTTTTTATCCTTTTCCCAGCTCAGCCCCTGTCCTTATTCTCACCTTAGCCCCCCCAGCCCTGCTGAGTGCAATTCTCTTATCCAAGGGGGATAGGAGGCAGAAGGGAGGCAGAAGGGAAGGAAGAAAGTGTTCCTTGAGAAGGCGGAGAGGGGAGGGAGCACAGAAATAGTCTAGACTACCAGAACTGGAAGGGTAATCTTAAGAGTCCATTCAGTCCAACCTCCTGATTTTACATATGGGGAAAATGAGGTTCCCAAGAAGAGAAGTGATCTGTCTAGGATCAGACAAGTCAGGGACCAACTGAGCTGGGTAAAATCAAAGTTTCTAGGGCTCTTTTTATCACACTAGGAGAGAAGTCGAAGGAGAAGTGAGAAGGATGGAGGGAGATGGGAGACAGGAGGAAAAAGCAGGAGAGGAAGAAGGGAGAATAGGACAGGAGGAGGAGTAGAGGAGGGAAGCAAGGGTAAGGTGAGGAAAAAGAAAACAGGAGAATGGAGAAGGAAGGAAAAGAGATAAGGGAGTGAGGGATGGGAAGGACAGAGGCTAAGTGGGGAGAGGAAGGCCAAGTAGGGAGGAAAGAAAGGCATCAGCAGAATTACCTGATTAAGTGATAGCTGAGAGAGGCCCGAGCGCAGCAGAAGAGAAGAGAGGAGGGACAGGCACAATGGTCAGAGAAGTCAGGGGCCTCTGAGGGGCTTCCTCCCCCCGACTCCACCCAATGGGTTCTTTGCTCTCTCCCTGGCCAGCTTCCATCTCCCCAGTGCCTCCTGAACCTCCCTGGGGCACAGGCCACAGGGAGGCGCAGCCCTGTGCTTCTTGTCCAGGGTAGGGGAAAAGACGGTCTTTCATGGGGCAGACAAAGCATCTCCTCTGACACCCTCTGAGACAGGGATGTGACGGGGTGAAAAGAATTCTCGACTGCAGACCAGGAGAGTGGGGGGCCTGCAGATGATTCACTGTGGCACCTCAGTGAGTCAGGTTACTGTCCCACTTGACAAAGGTACTAATCTCTGTGCGGTCAACTCCACACAGGCGCTATGAGGAGGCACATGGGATAATGGATGGGGAAAGCCGCCCCTCCAATCCTCTGGTCAAGGGCAACCTTAATGATATAACAATGTTAATAATAATGATGATAATAATACTGATACCCATCATAATAAAAACAACACCACTAATGATGATAGCTAACATTTATAGAGTGCCTACTATGTGCCAGATACTGTGTTGAGCACTTTACAAATTACAACCTCATTTGATCCTCACAACAACCTCTGGAGGTAGGCGCTATTATTATCTCCATTTTACAGATAAGGAAACTGAGGCAGACAGAGGTGAAGTGACTTGCACAAGTTTTTGCAAATGATTCTCTGCAGCTGAATGCACATTCCCAGTCACACAAACTGATTGAAAAATAGGGAATTTAGGACCCTCCTTGGAGAATAAAAATGCCAAATGCCACCTTAAAGGCGGGCTTTGCTTCAGCAAGGAGTCTCTCCGGGATATGTTCAAGATATATAATTGTTCCTTGAAAAATTTAACTGCAGAGACAACTCTGTTCCCCCAGTGGAATATAAGCTTCTCGAGGGCAAAGATGGTCTGACTCATCCAGCATAGAGCCTGGCACATAGTAGGTGCTTAATAGACAAGATAAAACGCTGTGAAAATAGAAAAGGGCCTTGTAAATAGTAAAAGGCTTCACAGATTGTTAGTTATAAACTATAAATTGCCTTAAAATTATAAAAGACATTATAAATTGTTAAGCCCCTAAAAGGGATTATAAACAGTTATAATAATAATGATGATGATAGCGGATATTTCTATGGCAGTTTAAGGTTTGTAAAAACACTTCACCTACTAATTTCATTTCAGCTTCACAACAATCTTGTGCAGCATGTACTTTAGGTGTTATCATTCCCTATCCACTTGTGTTGGGGACAGGATGCCAACCTGAGTTTTCCTTCCTTCCAAGACCACTATAAGACACTCCCTTCTTGAGAGCTCCCTATGGATTACAAAGAGCTTTTAAAATATAAGGAGCTTTAAAAATTGAGGCACAGGCAAAAATGGGATTATTCTCTATAGATAAAGTGTCTGGATTCTCTTAAGTGTTCCATCATACTCTCCTCTGGGAGGAAGACTGAACAAGGCCCCACAGGCCAGTTTTGAAGAAGAGGGAAATTGACACTCAGAGATGGAAAGTGACTTGTTTAAGGTCACATGGTAAGGGGGTAACAGAACTAGGATTTTCCTTCTTTTTTTTTTCTTTAAAATTTTTTTTTTTCTAATTACATGTGAAAACAACTTAGGATTTGAAACCTGGTCTCCTGATGCTCGGTCCGGGGCTCTCATTTCAGCCCACCAACCTTGCCAGAGCTGAGGCACAACTGGGATCAATCCTTTTAACTTCGGGTTTGTTTTCCTATACACTGAGCTTGACTCTGGGGTTTCAGCCTCTGGCCAAAGAGGAGAAGGAGAAAACTCTTGGGCTCAAAGGATTCAGAACTGGAATCAGCCATACAGAATTATCTAGACCAGAGGCAGCAAATGCCTAATGCTTACCCAACCAGATTAAAATGTAATTAGGGAAAAGTTAAACAAGATAAATAAAAATACAACACAACATAATGTTAATTTGTGGTTTTCTAAATTAATACGCACACATTTCTATTTGAGTGTGACACCTCTGATCTGGACCCATCTCCTCATTTTAAAAAGGAGAAGCCAAAGCTCAGACAAAAGAAATGACCGGTCCAAGGTCCCTTAAGTAACCTCAATGGGCAAAAAATGGTACAGCTGAAAGAACCTCGAGATGAGGCCCCTGGACTGCAAGGAGTTTGTGGCAATAGGTTGAGGGTAAGGTTAATCCTGGCCTGGCAGGAACCAGGGCTTGGGGTCCAGCCGTTGGAGGTAGCCGACATTACTCACTTCTGAAGTACGAAAATGCCCACGATGAGTGTGAAGGAGACCAAGTCAGCTGTGATCCAGATGAGACAGTACTCGTCCGGGGCCTGGAAAACAATTGGATACCCAAAGGACTCAGCGGGCAGGAGGAGCCCCTCCAGAAGGAGCTGCAACAATTCACGGTCCTTCCTCAGAGAGGAAGATGAGGTGATTGGATTAGAAGGCCTCTGAGGTCCCTTTAAGCTCTAAGTCTACGATCCTATGGTAATATAGGGATATAATAACCTCCCTGATGTCTTTTGGTGGCCTAAATGGGGCTTGGGCTCTCAAAGGTCCCATCTAGTTGGAAAGCCTTTAAGCCCAGGGATGGACTCAGCATTTGACCTCCTAGCTAAGGTCCAAGAAGCTCATTGCTGCGATCATCAATTTTTTGGCCACAGCAACTCACTGAAACGATAGAGTAAGATACAGAAGGGAGGGGAGTTGGACCGGTGACCCAATCCACACTGATGAAATTACTAATCACTTTAAGTATGGGAAAATGGGAGTGTGTCTGTATCTGTGGGGTGGAGTATCTTTAGGTAACACGTGAAAATCAAGCGATGGTGGAATATTATTACCCTGTAAGAAAGGATGAATATGAAGACTTCAGAGAAGCACAGGAAGACTTACATGAACTGATGCAGAATGATGCAAGCAGGACCAGGAAACAATAGGCACAACTACAACAATGTAAATGGAAACAACAAAACTACAATTTTCATAACCAAATTTGGCCCTGGAGAAGAAACAAAAAATCGAACACTATTTCTTGTTTGCAGAGTTGGGGGAAGGATGGACGTGCGATATGGCATCCATTATCAGACTTGGTTGATGTGTGGGTTGGTTTTGCTGAACTGTCTTTTTTCTCTCCTCTTTCTTTATGTTTTTATTCCACGTTAGTGTGTGGAGTATATATCTGGGATGTCAGTGTTTGTGGAGTTTGTGTCTTTGTGGAGTTCATGTCTCGGTCTGGAGTTGTATATCTTGGTACTATGTATGCACCTATGAGGACAGCTATGCATCTGGAATGTTCTCCCTATCAACTGCTGATTCTCAGAATCCCAGGATTCCTTTAATACTTGGCTCAAGCACCACCTGCCTCGAACAGGTCTTTCCTGGATCCCCCCCACCTCCCAGCTGCTAGGGACATTTCCTACAAGATGCCTTTCATCTACCATGTATTTCTTGTAGGTTACCCAGTAGAATGAAAACTCCTTGAAGGCAGAGGTTGTTTTTGCCTTTTAAGAAAAAATTTCCCTAGTGTTTAATATTTCTTCTGACACGTAGTAAGTATTTAATAAATGCTTATGAATTGATTGTCTGGGATGTACTACTTTACCCTCCCAGGTAGTCAATAAATGTTTGTAAATGTAAGTGGATAGAAGTGGGAAGTATGTGTATTTTATCTCCCTCTCTGTATGTGTGTGTTCCCCTTTATTTCTCCCTTTCTCTTTATGTTTACTTGTCTCTTTCTAACTTTTTCCTTGATCTGTCTGCTTTTCTCACCGTTCATTCCCTTCTTCCTACCTTCCAATGACCTCCCAGGATTGTTGTGAGGATCAAATGGGATAAGAATTGTAAAGCACTTAGCACAGTGCCTGGCACACAGTAAGCACAATATAAATGTTATCGTTATTCCTTTCCCATCTTCCACTTTATTTAGATCTCATTCAGAACAGAAGTACTATATTAGAAATTTTTTTCATTAACAATGAAAAACACTTTATGTTCTTGGTCATTAATTTTAATTAATATTAATTAATGGTGTACCTTTTTATTTCAGAAATACTGTACTAGGAATCTTTTTTTGTGATCACTGAATAACATTTTATGTTGAAGGTCATTAATTTTTAAATTGATGAGTTTAATCTTTTATTTCTTTCCCTTAAGAAAAGAAACAAAATCTGAAAAAGACCACGCAAATTTGCCTTTTGTTTTTATGTAGCCCTATGGAGACTTGATAAGAAACCTCAATTCAAGTCAATTTATACCCTGATTTTTGGAGATTTCAAATGGAAGGTGGGCACAGGGAAAATGAAGAGAAGATGTAGGAAAATATGGTTTGGGTTTAAGACATGAAAGAAGCCAAAGGTATGTAGACCACCCAGAAACATATGTTCTTTAAGAGTTGGAAGGCATTGGACACTGCAGGCACTGAATAAAATGGCAAAAAAAAAAAAGAAAAGAAAAGAAAAGAAAAGAAAAAGAAACTAGTTATATCCAGACAGACAAAAAATGGCTGACTATTGATGTGGGAGTCATATCAACAAAGGTCAAAATCAATATCCAATTTGAAGACACATTGATGAAAATAAAAGACACACAGAACTGCGACAGCTAGGATCTGACTGATCCTGCAGCCACTGATGCTGGAAAACGAGAAATTAAGAGACAAAGACATTGACCTTGATGATGATCATTTCACACAAGAGCTGAACCAGCATAAAGCAGTCATTACAACAAGGAGGTCAAATGGGCTCAGAAACCGCCTTATCCGCACAATGATAAACCATTTTGCTCATCGAAGAGGGATGGTAGCCAGGGGCAATACCAGTTGAGAGTATTAACTCATTTGCAAAAATACTAGAGGGGAGATGGGTGGATGACTGTAAGCCTCAAAAATAAAATGCCTTTTAGCTCTAAATCTGTGATCTTATGTGCAACCTTAGACAGATCATTTTTTCTCTCTGGAGCTCAGTTTCATTACCTGTAAAACGGGAGGGTTGGATTAGATGCCTCTAATGTTGCTGCTGGTTCTATATTTTTGACCCTCTGGTTCTTTTATTGAGAAGCAGCTTAGTGTAGTGGAAAGAACATTGGACTTGCGGAGCCAGGAGGCCTGGTTTTTGTATTCTGGCTCTGGAACCTATGAACTGTGCGATTCTGGATAAGTTTCCTCATTTGAAAATGAGGATAACAGATGCACCACCTCCCTCGTGGAGTTGTTGTGAACATAATTCTTTATAAACCTTAATGCAACCAGAGAAATGAGAATCATGATGATAAAGAGAAAAGAGGATGGGGCCTTGGAAACAGGCCAGACTTGGCATACAAGCTCCATAGACCACCTTGACCTCTCCATCACTTCCCTTCTGTACAAAATAGCATTTATTTCTTATCTAATTTGTCACTTTTGTTTAATCCACCCACATTTAAAGTTACGAAAATTAGATCTGTGTTTTCTTCCAGGTATCTCTAGTATTTTTCCTCTAAATTGGATCTGAAGTCCAATTTCTGACATTTGATGCTTACATAACTCTGTGCAAGTCTCTCAATTTCCCAGTGCCCCCCAGAAAAATTCCTTAAGACTCTAAGTTATAAGATTTGCATTGATACAGGGACTACACAGATAAAATCACAGATCTAGGGGAATTTTTTTTTTCACACCCACAGGGCAAGAAAGGGGAACTGGGTTCCTTAGCTCTTAGTTCCAGTCTCCTATAGTGTTGGCTTATTAGAATGTAAGCTCCTTGAGGGACTGCCTTTGACTTTGCTTTGTGCTTAGCTCAATAAGCGTCTAATAAATGTCTCTTAATTATTTTCTCTCTGTCACCTGTGCTGGGGTCTGCCAGGCTTACCATGATCCAGATGGGGGAAGGCACCTTGGACAGGGTTTGGGAGTTGTCAGATGTGACAGACTGGACACCTGAGCACCACAGGAGGGAGAAGAGCCAGGGCTCATTGACCGTGTAGAGGTTCACGCTCAGGTTCCACGCAGAGCAGTCCCTAATTAGGGGAGCAGGGAAGAGTGAAAAAGAACACGTGAGTGCCTCTGAAGTCTGACCTCTCAGAACCAACTGGAAAACCACAGTCATGGGCGCTTCTGAGCTGAAAGGGCTCTTAGGTCTTTTAGCCTAACTTCCTCATTTCACAGAAAGGAGGAGGGGATAGGTGTGAGTTAGTGGCAGAGCTGGGACTCAAGTTTAATTCCTAACTCATCACCCTGTATTTCCTTCTATTACATCATGGTCTAGGGATGTCCTTTCTCCCTAACTAAACTGTAAGCTTCCTGAGGACAGGGATACAGTAGTAAAGTTAAGAGCTTCCCCACTCGTCTGAGGATTCCCTGGAACCAGGGGGAGGGGGAAAACACTGGAAGGAAGGTGTGGCTGTACCTGATGTCCTGGCTGGAGACCTGAGTGTAGCGTAAGTTCAGTTTCTGAATGTGCTCACGTCGTAGACCGGCAACTGTCTCTTTGATGTCTGAGGTCTGCTGGAAGCCTGGGGCTACTTTCTCTACCAATGGCCTTTGTCTGCTGGGCAGCCACATAACCTGGGATGGAGTAGGGTGGGGTTAGGGGGAGAGGAAGAAAGGACCTAAAGTCAAGGCTCAGTTTGGGATTGGGATGAGGTTTAATCTAACTTTTCATTCAGGTCTTTCTCAATCTCCACCTTAACACAAGGAGCCAAAGTGAGAGTCCAGCAGCTCAGGACACAAGAGAAACCAGGGTGGGGTCTCTACTTGGAATCTCTTCCCTCCCATCTCCTGAGATCTAGGAGGAAGGGCACCTGGAAAATGGATGGATCGCTCTAATACGAGACAGAACATGGTTAGTGAATGGTAGAGGTCAAACACAGAGAAGCCCATGACATTCAAAGATGGAGGGAGCACTTATAGTCAGAATTCAGGGAAGGCTTCCTGATACCTGAGCTGGGACCTGAAGGAAGAGGTTTTCGGTGGGTAAGGAGACCACCCCAAACATGGAGGAGAGCATGAGCCACAACAGAAGTAGGAAAGGGTTTGTATTTTCTCTCTTTGCCAGACCAAGAGTTAGCTAAGGCAAGGGCAGAACTCCAAATGGTCCATGAGTTCATGGGTCAAGCTTATTGCGGATGTAGCCATGCACTTGGAGCAGCCTACCTGGCTTCCCAAGGGGCCAGGGATCTGCCCATAGTCCATGGAGGGCTTACCAGGTGTTGTGGGAGGCCAGAGCGGAGGATAGCATCCAGAGTGACATTGAAGAAGGTGCCCCTGTAGGGGTGGTCATGGGGCAGATCCCAAAGGTTGAGCAGCAGGGTCATGTTCCCTTTGGCCAGTTCCAAGAGGTCAGTCAATTTGCAAATGGACTGGTTCTGTGCTTCCCTGTAGTCAGAGGCTGACAGTGAGTGCACGGTCCAGAAGGGGTCAGTCTGTATGCACAGAAGGTCCACATGTCAGTCATGCCACACACAAGCTCCATGGATACCCTACCACTCCATCACACCCGTTCTGAATGAATACGTATTGATTTTTCATTTAATTTGTCACTCTGGTTGAATCCATTCACATTAAGGTGATGAAAATTAGATTTATGTTTTCTTCCATTTGTGTCTCTAGTATTTTTTCCCCTAAATTGGGATTTTCTTGGTTTCTCTTCCTCTTTAAGTCAGGATTTTGTTCCTATGATTAGTTTTGCTTAATACAAACCCATTATTCTTGACTTTCTTCCCCTCTCCCTCTAATCCCTACTCCATGTTTACCAACCCTTTAGTTATGAAGTTTTGTTTAGCTTATTTCTTTCTGGAAAACAACAACAACAATGTCGTAGTATTAAGCACTCACTATGTGTCAGGCACTGTCAGTCAGTCAGTCAATACACATTTATTGCTAAGCTTCTGCTCAAAGCTCAGGGTAAAGGCTTAGCCTGGGGTTAAAAAATGCCTCCAGTTTTACTTACTCTGCTAAGGCGTGTTTTTTTTATGCCCAAAACACCCTCCTTTCCAAGTCTCTCTACCCCATTTCTTTAAGACCCAGATCAGATCCCACCCCTTCCATTAATTAAACCCTAACTCTTCTGTATATTCCATTCATTTCCTTCTACTCCTAAAAACCTGTAGGGACCCCAGACAGGTTTAGCCACGATCCCATTCAATGACCCTGAATTTACTAAGTGCCAACTACATGCAGAGGACCCTGTGTATTATGCTACCCAAATGCAAATGTCAAATGACACAGCAACCCTACCCTCAAAGGGCTTATAGACTAATAACAGGGAAGGATATAATATATGCACATGGAAATAATACAAAGTAGAATGTGTTGGGACAACGGCAGGATCCGGACAAAAAGCTCTGGGGAAATTTAGATAGAGGGAGAGTATATGTTACTATGGGGGGTGGGAGGGTTAGAGTTAGGGACAGTGAGGGAGGATCAGGGAAGGTTTCATGGAAGACGGAGCATGTGCCTACATTCTGCCTAGTAAGAGTCACTGGTGTTTGTACTGTCTTGTGCCAGACTGGGAGTTCCCTGATGGCAATGATGTACCCTATCACCTCATATCACACCTCATGGAAAGCACTTTGCAAACCTTACTATATAAACGCTTGCTATTATTATTGTTGTTGCTGTCATTGTTGTTGTTTAAAAAGCACAGAGGAGCTACAATTTTCATCGCTGGAGGGAAGACAACAGATAACGGCCCAGAGCTATTTTTAAATAAATATATACATTTCATGGGATAATGCACATGAAATCTTTTGCCACCTGTTGAGGACCCCAACATTGATGTCTGAGAGCAAATGCTCCAAGGCAGGGGCAGCCCCATGTAACAGGTGACTTCACCTTTAGCAGCAGCACTACTCCCTTCCCAGCACCGCCCCTCCTGCCTTCCTCTAGCCATGACCATACTTGTTCCTGCCTTGACACTCATACCTCATCGGTCCCCATGGTCCTTAGGATCCTTCCCTCTGATTGGCTGGCTCCTCCCAGAGCCTCCATTTAAGGATGGTGCCCAGGCAGCCATCTCTTCATTTTCCCACCTGGCTCCTCTCCTCCGGAATGACTCTGCTCCCCTCCCCCCACCTTGGTTCTTTGGAGTGCGGGCGTGCACGCGTGCGCACACACACACAAACACACACCCCTTTGCCCCTTTTGGTTTCCTTTTCTATATTATCTTCCTCCATTAGACTGTAAACTCCTTGAGGGCAGGAACTATCTTTCTCTTTATTCCCGGTGTTGAGCATAGTGCCTGGTACGTAGTAGTAAGTACTTAATAAATATTTATTGCCTGACTGCTCTTTCCAGGGTCCTCTCTCCTTCACCCTCATCTCTCAGGCTGGTCCCACTGGAAGCACAAACACACCTTGAGGAACCATTCTCCTGCATTGAGCTGCTTCAGGTCAGTCCAGTTGAACATGGAGGCAGGCCGTCGGGCCAGGTCTGGGAGGGCTTCATCCACATTGGTTGTGCGGCGCAGTGTAGTGTCATGCATGAGGAATGGAACACCATCCAGGCTGCAGGGAGAGGGGTAGGTCCTTTTCAGCACATTATCTTGGGCCTTGTCCCAGAGCTAGTGGAACCAGAGCTCCAGGGAGCCCAGGGGTGTGTTCCCCAGGAGGTACTCAAAGTGAGGGGCAAGTGTTGTCTGAGCTGTACAGATTCTACCCTATCCTAGGCCCTTAAAGATGGGTCATTCTTTTTTGGGGGGGGGGGCTAGGCAATGGGGCTAAGTGACTTGCCCAGGGTCACACAGCCAGTAAGTGTTATGTGTCTGAGGCCAGATTTGAACTCAGGTCCTCCTGAATCCAGGGCCAGTACTCTATCCACTGTGCCACCTAGCTGCCCCTAGATGGGTCATTCTTGATTACCTGTGTAGATTGCATATTGTCCACTCCCAAGCTATTCTTATAGTCAAGATGGAGACATGTAGGCCCGGTCAATGGTATAAAACTCAGATAGGAAGAAGGAGGGGCATTAAATCATACATAACAATCTTTCTGGCAGCATAATGACTTAGAAAATCACATATTAATATTATCTACGTTCTATTGTATTTTTATTTTATTAAGTATTTACCAATTACATTTTAATAATTTAATTTAATTTTAATTTAAAACTTTAATTACATTTTAAATCTGGCTTGGACCTCAACTGGGGAGCGTTGCTGGCAGGCCATGTGCTTGACACCTCTGGGTTAGATGATATTCAGAACTAGTTGGATGGACAGCTCCAAAAAGTGACCATTAAGGGTTTTAGGTCAACTTGAAAGAAGGCTTGGACATTATGTTATTCAACATTTTAATCAATGAAGTGCTTATCAAATTTGCGGATGGCAAATGGGCCAAATGGAATAAGATCAAAGTTATTAGGGATCAATGTAAAAGTCTTACACTTGGGTTAAAAAATATCAACTTTACAAGCATAGGGTGGGATCAGTGTAACCAGAAGGGAGGTGGCAGTCCTGTGGAATTCTGCCACAGTTAGGCCACAGCTGGGATACTGTGATTAGTCCCAGGTGAAGGGCAGTGACAAGTTAGACAGAAAATGTCTCGGGATGACCAAGGGCCTTGAGTTTACGATATATAAGAATGAGGCAAAGGAATTGGGCATGTTTAGAGAAGAGATAAGAAGACTTTGGCATGGGGATGTGTATGTGTTTGTGTATGTGGAGAGGGTGGTTGTTAATTTCAAGTACTTGAAGAGCTGTCACTGGAACAGGAACTCGATTTCCTCTTTAGCTCTAAAGGACAGAACTAGGAACAATTCCTATAAATTACAGAGAGGTGACTTTAGACTTGATGTAAGGGAAAACTCCCCAACAACTGGAACTATCCAAAGCTGGAATGAGATGCCTTGGGAGATAGAGGGCTCCCCTTCAAGGCCAGAGGTCTTTAAGCAAAGGCTGCATAACCACTTGCCAGAGAGGTTGTAAAGGGGATTAATGACCGGTTTTAGTGAACCAGACGGCCACTGAGGCTCCTTCCAGCTCTGAGACTCTGTGATTTTCTGCTTGTGGACTAATCTCTGCCCATTTTCAATCACCTTTACATGCATTACTCACTACCTTCTCTCAATTATATGACATACCTTAAATACTACCCACTCTTGAATATCCACTCAATTATCTGTGTACGTATCAGTGTATCTATACTCTTAGGCCCCCTCATGCAGCCCACCCTAGGGATTATTGGTGCCAACAATGCTAGGCTGCATTTCCCTGGTTCTACCAGTCTTCTTGTGTGCCCTCCTGCTCCTATTAACTTATGCTCAGAGAATGGAAGTCTGTCCCTCTAACCCTCATAGTGATTGCGGGTTTATCAGATATGGGCTTCAGAACAAAGGGGGAAAGTGTGCCAGAGGAGTGAAGGACTGGGAATGATGAAAAGAGGAAATTCTAAATTCTCTGATCCTATGATAAGGGCATTATCTGATGGGTTAGGTCTCTTTGTGCCAAACTCCTCCTGGGCCTAATCAGAATTATTCTGTGTACCCTGGACTTTGACTGACACTTTAGCCAATGGGTTCATCCATCCAGTTCTCTTAGGTAAGACCACTCCTCCACCTCACTGCTGTCCCATGTACCACCTCTCCAAACCCTCTGTTCCCTGGCTGAACCATTCTCAGATCCAGACATTCACAGAATCCTAGTACCCAGAGATGGAAGGGACCTTATAATAATGAACACTACAACAAAAAACAGAATGGCATCAACAAAAGTAATATTAGAAGAGAGAATGTCAGAGTGAGGAGGGCCCTTAGAATACAGAATGTCAGAGCAGGGAGGGGTCTGTGTGAGTGTATGTATGTATGTGTGTTTGTGTGTATACGAACATATATATGGAGATTTATATATATATATATATATGTGTGTGTGTGTGTGTATGTGTGTATGTTTGTGAGTGGTAGATGGACCAGATAATCCCAATTTAGCTTTATAATCATGGGCAAGTAACTCTCTCTTCATGGATCTCAGCAAACTTCACTGACAAAATGAGAGGGTTGGGCTAGTTTATCTTAAAAGTCGCTTCTATCTCTAGCACCTTAAAATTCTAACCCAATGCTGCCTCCAAAAAAAATACACAATTCTAAAAGTCTGTGACTGTGTGATTCTAGGATTTGACTCAATCTGAAATCAGGTCACTCCAGGAAAGGGATGAAAAACCAATCATTGGCTCAACTGACCTGATGGTCACATCAACTTGGACCCCATAGAGCTTCTGCTCCCTGGCCTTCTGGAAGGACATCAATGTATGTTCTGGAGCCAGCTGGGAAGGAAGACACAAGAAGAGAATCAGAAGGCCAGCCCCTGACTTCTAGGTCTCAAGGACAGCTCTTGTAATTCTTCTAGACCACCCCTCTCTGTAATTGCCTTATCTATCCCAGCACCCCAAGAAATCAGAGTTAGTAATTACCCAAATTTAGATCAACAAACACCTGCTATGTGTAATCCTTGCGCCTTCGAAATGCTAGATGTGGTGAACACAAGGACAAAACTCAAAATGGCCCCTGCCCTAAGGAGCTTATATTCTACTGAGGGATACCACAAATACATTCACTTTTTTAAAAGGGTATCCTGAAGAGGAAGAAACACTAACAATTCCATGGAGGAGGTAGCACCCCAGGAGCAGAGCTCTGAAGGAAGAAAAAGATGTAGAGGTGGACAAAAGGTGGTACATGCCAGGAATGAGGGATGGTTTATATCAATGCATGGAGGAGGATATGAAATGTCAATTCTAGAGCAAGACCTCCAGTGCAGCTAGAACACAGAGTGTGTGGAACAAGGCTGGGAAAATATGTTGGAACTAGGCCACAGAGGGACTTCAATGCTAGGCTAAGGAGCTTGTATTTGAGAGGCAATAGGGACATCTAAAATTGTGAAGGACATTCTGGGAACCTGGGGTAAAAAAGGCATTCTGGTTGGGTCACTTTACTGGCTAGATGACCTTGTTCAAGGCACTTCCTCTCTTTGGGCCTCAATTTCCTCTTCGGCAAGAAAAGGTGGTTGAACTAGATGTCCCTAAGGGTCATTCCAATAGTGATGCTGTCAGGTTGGAAGACCCAATACTTAAGTCTTTCTCTTGATGCCATTTGGATCTTGCTGGGACTTGGAATGTACCACTCCTCTGCTCTTGGTCTTCCCCCTGCCCCGATCCAATTTAGCCAAACTCTGGCCAAAGCTTGAGGGAATTAGAGGCAGTGGGATTCTTGAAAGAAAAATGGAGACAGACATAGGATGGGAAAAATGGTAGGGAGAAGAGTGGCATCCTGTCCCCTGGAGTTCTGAGAGTGCCCTCTGGTGGTATGAAAGTGTCACCTCAACCCTTTATTTCCTACCTGAGCTGGGAGAAATTGAGTCTCTTGAGGTCAACAGGGAAAGTATTATTGTCCCTATTTTACAGATGAAGAAACTAAACCACCAGAGGCCAGGTTATTTATACATACTGTTAACCCGATGACTACATTGTCTAAGCTATGGTTGTGAGGATTAATATAAGAAGCTCAAAGGGAGATACAGATATATTATAGAATGTTTTATTTGGAAGGGACTTTAAAACATAGACTATTAGAGCTGGAATGGACCTTAGAACCTAGAATGTCAGAGCTGGAGGAACCTTAGAACACAGAATGTCAGAGCTGGAAAGTTTGAGCTACAAGGGAATCTTAGAACTGAAAACACAGAGTTGAAGTGGTCATAGTACTTCCCCCGACTCCTTTCCTTATTATTTATTGTGAGTTTTATCACAAGATAAGGTGTTTACAGATGGTTATTATGGATGGCTGTTCCAATGATGATGCCATAGGGCTGGGAGGCTGGATAACTAGGTCCTTCTCCTGATGCCATTCTGATTCTAATGTGTAACCTGGAATGCATTACTCCCCTGCTTTTGGTCTCCCCTCCTGGTCCAATTTGGCCAAACTCTGGCCTAAGGTGTGAGCAGATTACAGGCAGTTTCTTTGAGAAGGGAAAGGATATTTTTGGAAATGAATAGCGGAGGACTTCTAACCTATACCAAACAGTCTTTCTCTTTGTAATTTTTCAATACTTCAAGGGTATGTGACTTTATTGATGTGAACCTTTTACCAAGGCTGGTCATAATAGATAGTTTCATGAATTTATGTGATAAAAAGTTCATCCCTTGGTGGCCAACTCTATGGAGGTAAACTTTTTGATACAGTCTTTCAGAGTTGGACACAAGAGCTCACTTGAGCCTTAAAATAATCTTGTGAAGAAGGCAACACAGGGATTATAAGTTTCATTTTACAGACGAGGAAATTATTATCTCAGAGAAATAAAGGGACTGGTTAAAGGTCACAATGCCAGTCAGTGGTGATGCCAGGTTTGGAACCCAGGCCTCTTAACTCCCCAGTCTAAGGATTCCCCTTCCCATTACCCCATGTTTTCTTCTCATCCTTGAATCTATGCCTATTCTGATTCCCCCCCCCCCCACAATGGTTTCCTGTGTTGGAGTCAGATAGGGAACTCCTCAGAGGCAGGCCCCTACGTTGTTTCCTCCTTTCTTCCTGTAGGAATAAGGAAGTCACTGTTCTCCCATCTTATGCCCTGGTCAGTCAAGTTCACATCTGGACTACTGCGTTCATTTCTGGCCATTAATAATTCACTGGATGGTGAAGGGCCTTGACCTTGCCATACCATGATCAGCGGAAGGAACTGAAGACTTTTAGCTGAAAGGAGGAGATGGGATAGCTGCTTTCAAGTATGGGGAGAGCTGTAGGAGAGGAATCAGACTCGTTTGGTTTGGCCCCAGAGGGCATAACTACAAACAATGGGTGGAACCTGCCGAGGGGCCAAAGTAGGACAAGATTCCTCACAATCAGAGCTGTCCATGGTCGGGGGATGGGCTGCCCACAGAGGTCAATGCCTCCCCCACCCTGTCTTTGCACAAAGGCTGGACATCTGACCACAGGCAGAATACAGTGTAGAGGGGGTTATTTTTTCCAGCATGGGATGGACTGGATCCCCTCCCTCTGAGGCCTTTTCCAATCCTGAGATTCTGTCACTGTGCACCAAGCACTGGGCTGGGGACATGGAGGCATGTTTTCAGTATGGGATGAGGTGGGACAGTAAATGCCCGATGAACGAAGTTCATTATAAATAGGAAGGGCTTAGGAGGCACTGCTGGCCTTGGGAGCCAGCATCACAAATGAAAACTTCTCTGAGAAGCAACATCAGAACAGGTTGTGCCAGAACAGGGCATGCAGCTCTGACATCCAGAGAAGGGGGAAGGGAAGGATAGGTCCATGTCCCATCTCTGCCAGTCACTTCCCGGGTAACCTTGGGGAAATCACTTCTAGCTCTACACCAGTATGACCCTAGGGTGGTATGGCCTTCAGAGATTCTAGACCTTCTTTGTGGCATGGACCCCTTGGGCAGTCTGGGGAAGCCACTGGGACCCTTTTCAGAATCATGGTTACTAAGGCAGAAAATACATGGGAATGGGGAAGGGAAAGTGGAGAATGAGTACTTATATAGCACCTAACATGTGCTAATTGCTTTAAAGCAAACAAATAAATATTATCTCCTTTAACCCTCACAACAACGCTGGAATGTAGGTGCTGGTATTATTCCCATTTTATAGTTGAGGAAACTGAGGCAAACAAGGTTAAGTGACTTGTCTAGGATTACATAGCTAATAAGTGTCCAAGGCCAAATTTGAACTCAGTTCTTCCTGACTCCAGGCCCAGTGCTCTACCCACTGTCCCACCTGGCTGCCTCTACAATACAAAGGAAACCCTCAGAGACCCTCTTGATATCTAATCATGAACTCCTTGTGGGGGTAGCGGGGAGTGGTCTTTGGACCCACAATTAAGAAGTCTTGTCTTAGAGGAAAGAAAATGAGGACACAAGGGACAGAGGTCAGTCCCATTGTCTTCTGCTGGGGCTGGGCCCCATCTGGTATAGAGCACTGGGGTCCTTTCCAGGGACCGCACTGCGGAAAGGACATTGACAAAATTGAGGGCACGTAAATCACAATTCCTAGGATGGTGAGTCCGGAGCAGACAAGGGTTGGGTGAAGGAAGGGGAACATCTTAGCCTGCAGAAGAGTCAGGATCACTTTGGCCTGTTCTGTGGAAGAGGAATCCAATTTGATTTGTTTGGCCCCAGCAAGGCAGAACTAGTAGTGAGGACCGATGGCTTCGGAGGCAAGTTTTAGTTTGACATAAGGAAAAACTCTTACAGTCAGAGCTGTCCCAAAGTAGAAGGGGCTGCCTCGGGAGGAAAAGGAGAGAGAGGAAAGGGAACTTCCCTCTACTTTCCCTTCCCTTTCATTAAACAGAGGCTGGATGATGGAAGGTCAGGGACCATATGTGGAAAGGAATCTTCTTCTGGCATGAGAGGACAACAATGCTGGGCTCACTTTACTCAGACACAATGATTCTGTGGAAGTGGCTCCAGGGCTCATCTCCAGTCCTTAATTTTACACCAAGGGAGGTAAAGGGACTCGCCCCAGGTCATCTGAAGTAGAAAGCATCAGAAGTTCAGGGTCATAGGGCTGGAAAGGACCTCAGAGAAGGCTGATGTCTAGCTCTCTCATTTTGGAGAGAAGGAAACAGAAGGGTCAAGTTATGTGTTCAGGGTCAAATAGCTATTAAGTGTTTGAGGCAAGATTTGAACCCAGGTAGGTCTTCTTGACTTCAAGGCTAGTACTCTGTCCACTATACTATGCTTGGACCCAGGTCCTGATTCCAGAGCCAAAGCCCTTCCCACTATCCTGAGGCTAGCAAAAGAACTTTATCCTATGTCACATTGGAAGGAACTAGAAAAGTCAGGATTTGAACCCAGTTCCTCTAACTAAATGGTGTCTCTAGGGCTACTTCTACCTCTAATTTAATTCTGCATGTTTAGGATTCTCCTTAATGCCAGTGAAAGACGTCAAAGCTCAATTCCCACAAGGGGGCAGCATGAAAACAAAGATGGCTGGGCCAAATGAATATTCCCTGGCCTGGTCCATCCCATGATGGGGCTCCCATGTTTCCCCAAATCCTGCCAAGGGACAGAGGGCCCTGGGATCTCCAGGGCTGGAATGATTTTGTTTCTCCTGGCCACTCACTCTCTGAAGTCAGCAATAGGAGAGACAGCACACACTCACCATGGGCGCTCCTCGGTGGCCAATGATGGCGGGCTTAGGGCTCAGGTCTTTCTTCTCCATGATGCAGGGGGAGGAGATGGAGAGGGGGATCAGGTAGAGCACAAACACCACTGCGAAGTAGGCGGTGAAGATGACCATCTGTGAGGCTGAAAGTACAGAAGAGAGACTCCATGAAGCCCTCCTAGAATGAGAGAGAGCCCAGCATACATATCCTTGTCCCCACTCTAGGCAATGACGCAATTGCTCCCCAACCCTGAATTCTGGAAGAGGAACCACCATGCTTGCTACCCTCTGCTCTCGCGTGAAGTTCTCATCCAACTATTTCCCCGTTTCCATTACCTTTGTTCATGTGGACATCTGTCACAGCTGGACAATGAGCTCTCCCTTCAGGGGAGGGGCCCAGTGAGGGCAGGGACCATGGGAGGTAGTAAGCTATAGTAGGAAGATGCCAGAATCAGAGGACTGGGGGCCTGAATTCCACCTCTAATACTAAATACTTGTGTGACTTTAGGCAAATCATTTAATCCTTCTGGGTTTCAGTTTCCCCACCTGTAAAATGAGGGTGTTGGAGTAAATGAACTCCAAGGCCCCTTTCAACTCTGAATCTATGACCCTAGATATACTCAGTCAACGGGCTACCTGAGGTCAGGGACTAAATCCCTTCCCCTCCCTACCTGGGCTTTCTCCTGTCCCCAATCTCTCCTACCAGGGCATACAGAGCACAGGACAGGCCCTGGGTGCAGAGGACAGTCTCTTTTCTTCCCCTCTTGGGACAGAGGTGGTACTTAAGGAACTCAAATTGTCTTTGATCAGCTGGACTAGAGAGACAGAGAGATAACAGATGATATTCTTTTACTTTTCTTTGGTGTTAGGTTGTGGGACAAGAGGTTTGCAAACACACATTCGTGTGCTCATGGGCCCTGTCCACACAATGCGGGGGATGTGATAAACAAGAAGTGCTGAATTTCAAAAACAACCCAAGAGGTGGGTGTTTTAAATAGACTGCTGTGTATACTTGCGGCCCACAGAAACCCTGAAGAACAGGAAGGCTCTTCTTTGTAGATTACTAATGGTGTTCCTGAAAGCTGCCTTCAATAATAACAACTACAGCAGCAGCAACAGCAGTAATAGTAGTAATAATAATGATGACAATCACTAAAGTTTACAAAATGTTTTCCTCCAAAGAATTCTGGGGAAAAAATCCATGAAGCGAGTATTCCATTGTTACCACGGGCATGGTGAGGTTCGGTAAGATGAATTGCCAGAGCTGTTGAGCTTCATTAAGGGTGTGACTTGGGAACTGAGCCCAGATCTTCTGCTAGGGTTCTGGGTACTTGCCTCACCTCCAGCCAGGACCTAGATCCTGGGTCCAGGGAGGTCCTACTATGTTCTTAATTAGGCTCAAGACTTCCCCTTCCTGGGCCTGACTTCACAAGCCACAATCAATGGAGCAGTTGAGAAGGCTCTCAGAAAGGAAAAGGAACATGGCGAAATGCATCCAAGACTGGATTCTGAATAGGGGAAGCCCAGGTCCTGCCTCCGACGCACGGCGGCTGTATGACCCTGGGCAATTCACTGAAACTCTCAGAGTCTTAGAGAGTTGCCTGGGACATGAAGTTAACAAGAGGGTGGATGATCCGCATTAATAGAGGGATTTTCCATTGAGACTTTCCTATGCTGATAAAAATCAATGGTCTGGTTCCTTCTTCCTATCTGGTCAGGGCCAAGACATAAAAACAATAATAATAAAAAATAAAAAAAGGAACATTGGACTTGGATCCAGGAGATCTGCTTCTAATACTCATTAAACTAGGTGACCGTAGGCAAATCATGTCCTTGGTTTTCTCCTCCATAAAATGGAGGGAGCAATAATGACTCTACCTACCTATTGGGGGGATCCAATGACCTATATATCTATATGTTGAAGAATCAGTAAGCATTTATTAAACACTTATTAAGCACAAGACTAGGAGGCACAATTCCAAAGAAGGAAACAAAATCTCTTTCAAGGAGCTGATGTTCTAACTGGGGAGACAAGAAGGATGTTTTATATAGGTACTTGTATATAACAAGTCATGTTATACATGCAAATAAGTGCAACATCAGTATAAAGGGAATAGAGATATATGCAAAGCATATATAAATGCAAATATATAATTTATATATATTATATATATAAACACAAATATAATTTACATATTATATATGTATATAAAATATACATATATAAATACAAAACAGTCATGGGAGGGACGGCACCAGCAGTTGGGGGCAGGGCATCAGGAAAGACTTCAGGTAGAATGTGGTGCTCTCTGTATATGAGTATAATGTGTATAAAGTATTTTGTAAACCTTACAGTGACAGACATGTAAGCTCTGATCATTCGTCCAGCCCAAACATCCACTATGTGACGTGCTCAGTGCTACAAGGGGATGGTCAGTGAAAAGTGGTGGCAGGGGACAGAGGTGGGGTTGGGAGGGCCAGAGTTAGAACTGGGTCTTCTGAGGCCTACCTAGGCCAAGGTACTATACTCCCTGTCCCACCCCTCTCAACCTTTCTAAAGTAAGATGGTTTTTTGTTTTGTTTTGTTTTGTTTTTTTGTGAGGCAATTGGGATTAAGTGACTTGCCCAGAGTCACACAGCTAGTGAGTGTTATGTCTGAGGTCACGTTTGAACTCAGGTCCTCCTGATTCCAGGGCCAGTGCTCTATCCACTGTGCTCCCTAGCTGCCCCAAGTAAGATGTTTTTTAAGGCCCCCTTTCAGCCCTGATAGCCTAAGTATGAGTAGAAAGACAGCTCCAAATTAACCTCACCTCCTAACCCCACACACCTTCCATCTCTTGAACCCAGATAAGAGCCCTTTAGGGATGGCTGTGAGTGAGGCCAAGCTGTCTTATACTCACAGACTTTTTCAGCTCTCGCAAACTGGCCTGCCACAATCCAGGAGAGAGTGGTTACAGCTATCAGGGCCCCGATGTGCAGGAATGGGGCTGTGCCCTGCAGATGAGACACAACATTTCATGCATCAGCCCCGCAGTGCACACGGATTTCCCCAATCCCGGGGATAGCGGAGAGATAGGGGATGTCAGTTCTCAGCCGGCCCCATCCTACGACCTACGGAGGAAGGGCTCCCACAACTAGCCATGTGCTTGCTCCTATCCTCTCTGCAAGGTTCACGTAGCAGGGGCTAGCTTGGAAAAGCTATGGGATATACAGGCTGCTTTCTGGACATCCACGGGCAACTTGGAAGTGGTTTTCAGGAACTCTACCTAGAACCACTTGGCACTGGAGGGCAGAGGTAAGCCAAGTGAGGACTAGGGTAAGTTACAAGGAGGCAGATTACAGTTCACAGTAAACAACAATATAGAACCCCTACCGAACAGGTTGTCTTCACCGGTAGTAAAGCTGCCCATGATTGGAGGGACCCAAGCAGGAAGTTAGAAAGAAGGTTCCAGTGCTTAAGGGGGTTGAACAAGGTGACCTCAGAGGTCCCATCCAGCTTTGAGATTTTATGATTAAATGCAGTAGCAGGGGTCAGAAGACTTGAATTTCTAGTCCTTGCTTCCTGCTACACATTCTCTATGGGCCATTGAGAAAAATGGTTTCCTTCCTGGTGCTTCAGATCCCTCCCCTGTAAACTGAGAGGGGGTGGACTGGATATGCTCTAAGCGCCCTTCCAGCCCTAAAAATCCAGACAATCTGCTATACTAAGCAGTATTCTGAACCTGAGCCCACTTTGAGGGCACAATGGAAAGAATCATAGACTTAGGGTCAGGAGAACTGAGTTTGAATACAGGCTCTGAAACTCCCTTGCTCAATGACCTTGGGCAAATTCCTTCTCTGTTACGTGCCTCAGTTCCCCTATCCGTAAAACAAGGCAGTTGAACTAGATGACTTCTAAAGGCCCATCTTTCCAGCTCTGACTTTCTGTGGCCTCATAATCTATGAACTTCCACCACAGCTAAAGTCAGGGGGTACATCCCCAGGCAGCTGTGGGCCAGTTGGGCAACCTCTACTCACTTGCAATGATATTAGCAGCACGGCCCACTCATCGTCCCAGAGCTGGGCTACAGAAGACACCGCTACAAGGGTCGCAATCAAGGCTACGGTCAGCGCTACCTGTAAGAAGAAGAGCCAGGGTCAAAGCAGGGCCCCCAGAGCAGCAGGATGGGGGAACAACTCCCTTCCCCGTGCTCCTGCTTCTGTATTGATGCTTGTCTATATATACACAATTGTGGGTAAGTGTACCTATCTGACTGTGTACTCGGGTGCAACCCTGTACAATCATATGTGAGTGACCGTGTGACCTCATGTACGTGTAGGTGTGACCAGTCATGAGCTTAACCATGTGTGTGCATATCTGTGACTGCATGAGTGCCAATGTGTACAATTATGTGTCTGTGTGTGATCAGCGTATGTCTGTGTGACTGTGTATGTGTGACCACATGTGGGGATCAGTGTGTGTGCATCTGTGTGTATGTATGAAGACTGCATGTGCACAATTGGACGATTGTGGATGTGTGTGGACAGGGGAGAGGGGATAAATGGAGAGGAAGGAAAGAGAGGAAGAGGCACTTTGCCAGACTTCAACCTCCACGCCCGCCTCAATTCTGAGGGGGACTCAGCATACCCTCAACATCCTCAGGGGTCAGTGTCTGGAAATGGCTCCATGCTCTGAGGCTGAATGAGGTGGAGCCGGGATGATGGATTAAGTGTTAATGGTATTTTATCTTGGATCTTGGCAAGACTGTCACCTGAGCCCAGCAGCCTACTGTGACATGTTTGATAATGATAACAATAAGCAAGAAAAATAAAAATGGTAGCATGAGAAAAGGCTGTTTCTATGGAAGAGGAGAGAGAAGAGAGGGGGGGAGAGAGAGAATGAGAACACAGTAGGACAGGTAGAGAACCCTTAACTGGAGTTGAGAGAACTGGGTTCTTATCTCAGCTCTGCAACCCTGGGCAAAACATTTCCATTGCATGGACATCAATTTTTGTGAAATAGGGGGCATGAAGAGGATGCTTTCTCAGATCCTTCCCAGGTCTGACATTCTAAGTTCTATGTTCTCCTCCGGAAGCTTAGGCGTGTCTGTGGCTCTGACGCAAGTCCCATAGAGCCTGGAGGAGGCAGCTGGGAGGAGTGCTGAGCCCCCGCCGGTGGGTGCCAGCTGGCATGGTTCTCTCATCCTCCAGCCCCAAAGCTGAGAGAAAGGAGTGCCTGGTGGGAAGCACAGGAGGCCAGGGGAAATTGTTCAGTTCTGAGGAGAATGAGCAGGAAGGCCTAGGGTGAGGCTGAGGGGGTGGTGTCACAAGGACACCCAAGGCTAGAAATGGACATATACTGTCCTTGGTAAAGTCACAGACCTGGAAAATGTCTGAACTGATTGGAGGAGACCTTTGAGATGATATAGACCAAACCTCTTATTTTACAGAGGAGGAAATGAGGGCCCAGAGAGTGTGATGACTTGCCCAAGGTCACATAACAAATTAATAGGCATGAGACCTTAGAAATTATCTAGTACAACTTGACAGGTGAGAAAACTGAGGCTCAGGGTGGGAAAAGTGGGAAAGAGCGATGGTAGCAGATGGTAGCAGACCTGGGACTAATAATAGCCCACATATAGTGAATTTTAGTTTAATAATTAAAAACGAGTATTTCTCAAGCTTTGTGGAGGTTCACAAAGAGCTTTCCTCACAGCAACTCTGTGAGGGAATATCAATATCTCCCATTTTACAAAGGAGGAAGCTAGGGATCAGAAAGGCTAATTGACTTATTACAATAAGTAGCTAAGCCAGGATTCCAGTCCAAGTCTCCCGATTCCCAGGCCAGGGTTCTTTTTATTGGCCCACGTTATCTGTAATTAGCCGCTCCCTCTGAACTCATAGTGGTCTGGCCTCCAGTCCTTGGGGCAGTGCTCTGCGGGTGCTGGCCACTCCCAGGTATTAACTCCTCTCTCTTATACCCCTGCTCTCCTCTTACTTGTCTCTCCTCTTCTTTCCCCTTATACCCACAGGGCGATGAAGGCCCTTACCTTATGAAGCCAGTGAAGGTGCATCTGCTGTCCCACAACAATGTGACAGAGGGCCAGGATCTGGGGAGACACAAAGGACAGAGAGCCTTCAGATTCCCACTGAACAAGGAAAAACAGAGGGAACAAAACGGAGGCAGATTTAGGTTCAGTAGAAGGAAAAACCTTCAAACAATCAGTTGTCCCACAATGGGACAAGCTGTATTTTAAAGGTAGTGAGCTCCCTGTCTCTCACTGAAATCAAGAACCTCAGAACTGGAAGGCGCCTAGATGCCATCTTGTCCATCCCTCACACCTGAGCAGAGAACCTCTTCACAGTGTTCCTGACTGAGTTTCCTCTTGGAGATCTCCAGACTTACAGGAACTCACTACCCCGAGGCAGCTCATTCCATTCTTGGAGATCTCTGACTGTTAGCAAGTTTTTCCTTACACCCAGCCCAAATCTGCCTCTCTGCAGTTTCCCCCGCTGCTCCTAGCTCTGCAAAGGCTGAATGCCCCCTTGTCAGGGATATTGGGGTAGGGAGAATTCCTACTAAGGTATGAGTGGGCTGGGATACCCTCTGAGATCCCTCCAGTTCTGAGAGCCTTGGGGTTCTATGAAATAATCTTCCTATTATGAGTCCTCTACATACCAGGATCACTCTTATCTGCTGGTGCCCTTCCCTTCAAACTACTCTGCACTCATTGATTTTGTACGTATTCTCCATACAGGGTGTTTCAAAAGTCTTAATGCAATTTAAAACTACTTTTGGGACACCTAGAGTGTGTGTGTGTGTGTGTGTGTGTGTATACACACAAGCACATATATACATATACATGAATACATATGTATGCATGCATGCATGTATGTATCCTCGTTGTTTCCCCTATTAGACTATTAACTCCTTGAAAGTAGGGATTGTTTCATTCTTTGCACTTATATCCCCAATCTTTTTTTTTTTTTTTTAGTGAGGCAATTGGGGTTGACACAGCTAGGAAATACTAAGTGTCTGGGGCTGGATTTGAACTCAGGTCCTCCTGACTCCAAGTCTGGTGCTCTATCTACTGTGCCACCTAGTTGCCCCTATATCCCCAATTTAATACAAGTGCCTGGCATAAAGTAGGTGTCTAATAAATACTTACTTTTTGACTGACTGACTGATCTGTGTACCCTTGGTCACTGTAGTTCCATCCAATCAGGCCAAGCATTTACTAAGAGAACTTCATATGGACCAGGCAGCCACAGAAGGCCTTCTCTCTTTCCTACAATGCCCAGCTCTGGGACTACCCTCCCTTAATGGGACTCAATTCAAATGACAAGATCACATTACCTCCAGAATGGGCCTGAGAGGTCGTCAACTTGAACCTGAACAAAAATCTCTACACTGCACCCAACAAATGGGCATCTTTCCTTGCATATCTTCATAGAGGGGGGACTTACTACTCCGAGACAGCTCATTCCACTTTTTGGAAAGCTCTAATCATAACTGTTTTTTCCTCTCATCAAGTCAAATCTGCCTCTCTGTAATCACCCCCTCCCCCTCCCCTTCTCCCCGCACTGCTCCTCGTTCTGCCCCCTTGGGCCCAGCAGAACAGATCCAGCCCTTCTACAGGAAAGCCCTCCAAACACCTGAGGACCATTCCCTGCCTCCCTCCCCAACCCTGAAAAGCCTTAGTTTGTTCAACCAGTCTTTATATGGCATGAAATTGGAGCCCTCCTCAGGACGCTCTCCAGTTTATCAATGTCCTTTGCGAAAATGCGCTACAAAGAAGAGTCTTTCTGCCAGTGTCAAAGAGCTGGCTCACGCCAGTCTTGCAGTCCATTTAAATCCCCAAATCTTTTTTTCACAGGAACTGTAGTTTAGCCACACCCCCACCATCTTGTTCTTATTAAGTTTTTCAACTGGAGTAATAACACTACATTTAGGCCTATTAAGTTTCACCTTATTAGATTCAATCCAATGTTCGGCCTGTTGAGATCTTCTTGGATGCATTATCATTCAATGTATATTAGCTGTCTCTCTGAGCCTGGTGCCTTCTGCAAATTTGATAAGCATACCATCTAAACTTTCACCCAAGTAACTGATAACATTGTTGACTAGCACAGAGCAAAGACAGATCCTTGGGACGCTTCATAAGAGACTTTTCTACACTTTTGCAACAAATCATTAATGACTATTGTTTGGGCCCACCTGGTCATTCAATCATTTCAAAATCATTTAAATATGAAAATTTTCATCTAGCCCAGAGCCTGACAACACTCCTAGTGCTGCCTAAACCAGATTAAAATATAACTGAGAAATACTTAATAAAATTAATGAAAATACAACAGAACATAATGTTAATATGTGGGTTTCTAGATTGAGATGCACCTGCAGGGATTCTTATGTACAGTTCAATGGCCTCAATTTCTACTTGAGTTGGAAACCATGGATCTTGCCTATATATCTCCATTTCCCCCACAAGAATAGTATGAGAGACTTCTGGATGAAACCAGGCTGGCTCTTTGTGACCCAGCTTCTTTATCTAGATGTTCACCAACCTTTAATAATATGTTTTATAATTTTGCTTAGGAATCAGTCAAGTTCACTGGCCTATGGTCTGAAGACTACCCTCTTCTTTTTTTTTTTAAATTAAGCATTCATTTGTCAGTCCACTCAAACATCCTTCATTAGTCCTGTTGCCCATCCATCCATCCATCCGTTGCTTGAAAGACATCCTGTCACTTCCCTCAAAACAGGGGTCCCCAAGATCAGGGGTAGTGTCTTGAAGGAACATCCTTATCCTCAGAGATGACTTGTCTTTCTCATGCTGCCATGTCCTACCAGACATACCAACAATCCTGTGATGTACGTGAAGCCAGTGGCAGTGGTCAAAAGAATAGGAATGGACCAGTCACTCCAGTATCCCATCCGGTTATAGAGGAACCTGGGAAAAGAAGGGTGAAGAGTCAAACAAAGGTCAGGGTGGGAGTTTAAGGCTGAAAAATAGATGCTGGGACAAAAAATGTGAGGAGATCCCTGAGGGTTTTATGAGAGGGAGACAGTGTGGAGGCAGCAGGATGGAAACCATAGAACACAGAACGTCAGAGCTAAAAGGAACTTTAGAGATCTGGCTCTTTGTTCCACTTTCACTTAGGAAGACCTTTACTCCAGCTCTGCCTGTGGAAATCCTATATCCCTTTCCATCTCCCCCTTTAAGAATTAGTTCAAATGCTGCCTCCTCCAGGAAACCTTCTAGGACTCTTCTACTCAGAGGAGACCCTGATTCTTTCTTGTGGCTTTCATCACCTCTTGCCTGTACTTTGAGTCTCATTCTCCTACTAGACTCTGAGCTCTTTAAAGGCAGGAATCAGGTTTTGGTATAGAGGCAAGAGACCCAGACTGGGAGTCAGGAGGCCCAAGTTCAAGTCTTAGCTTTGCCACTAAATTGCTGAGTGACCTTGAGCATGACACCTACCTTCTCTGGGGTTCAAGTTTCTTTACTGGTGCTAGACTTGACTGTGAGCTTGCTGAAGGGTAGGGACCATATATGATGATGGTGATGGTGATATAAATAAAAGACCCAGGTTTTGTAATTATGGCATCTCCCATCTTCCTTTATCAGGGCAGCTCACAGTCTCTGATGTAATACACCTTGGAAATGTGCAGTAACTCAACATTTCATCACTCTGGCCAAACTGGTCCGGCACTAACTCTGCTGATCTTGAGTCAACAAACACAATCCATCACTGGGCATATAATGGAAGCCTGCCCAGGTCAGGAGGCTAGGCTAAGAGCTTGAACCTTTGTGAACCCATGGTCAGCTGTCTGCCACTATGATGTCTTTGATGAAGATGTTCGTGGACAATTACTATTATTTTTTGTTAACAACACCTACATAATAAAATGCATCTTATTTGCAGAGGTGGGGGACTGAAGGTCTAGAACACTGCTTACACTGTCAGACTATTGATGTATTTGTTAGTTTTGCAGATTTTTTTTCTTCTTTTTTTTCACTGTGATAAGTGATGGTTCCACGGGTGGGGAAGGACATATTTGGGAACAAAGAGGACAAAACCAGAAGATATCACTATCAATTTAAAAAACAAAAATAGCTCACGTATCTGTAGGGTTTTAAGGTGTCAAAGCTGCTTATCTCTCAACAACCTTGTGAGGGTAGGGGTCTTGTTACCATTTTGCAGATAAGCAAACTGAGGCTCAAAGACAAGGAACTTGCCTAGGATCCACACAGTTGGTTCACATCTCAGAGCTGGGATACGCATCTGTATTCCTGATTCCAAGATGAATTCTCTTTCTACCAGGCTACACTGCCCTGATTCATCTTTATGTCCTCTATGATATGAAAGCATGAGGCCCTGACCACTAGGTATTCAGGGAATGTCTGTAGAATGGACTCATCCCCTAAAGTCCAGTTAAGTCTGGAGGTTCCTCCTAGCTCTGACATCCTGTGTTCCACCTTCTAACATCTTTTTTTTTTTTTTTAGCTCTGATTAAGTGGAAGGAATGAGGGACTAGGAATCAAAGGGACAGGTGATCAATCACAAGGAAATGCACGGTCCAGGCTAGCAGATGACTAGAAGTCCAGTCAACAAGCATTTATTTGCTGAAGGCCTACAATGTGCCAGGCACTGTGCTACGTACTAGAGAGATTTAAAAAAAAAAAAAAGAAAGAGAAAGAGAGAGAGAGAGAGAGAGACAAAAATGACCCTTGCCTTCAAGGAACTCACAATCTAATTTAATTCTTTAATTAATTAATTAATGGCACTTGCCTTCAAGGAACTCACAATCTAATTAATTAATTAAATCAATTTATTTTGTTTAATTCTTATCTGGGAGATACGTATAGGTCGGCCTCTGGCCCATTGCTGGGAAGAAGGTCCCCCCAGAAGTCAGCGCCCTAAGTCAAAGTCCTTATTCCCCACTCTAGTCACATACAGTGTTGGGTTCCAGTTTCAACTTCCATTCTTTATAGGCCGACTTGGTTTGTAAGTTGAGCATTCATAAATGGCACTGCCTGTAATGTGCCACTGGGGAAGAAATAATGAGTCACTTGATATATCACTCTGCACTAATTCAAACAGAGAGGTGTAGTATACATACAAACCATCCTTATTTTGCTATGGTTAGATGGAAGGAATATTGAAATCCCTAATGACAGAGAGGAAATGAGACTTCTCGTTTCCCAGGTAAAATGGATTCAATGGAGAAGCGAGGAGAGGTGGGGGTACCGAATAAGGACGTATTACTGTTTTAGAACTGATTCAGTAGAACTTAAAAGCCACTTAAAAGACGTGACATTTATTCTATTAATATACCTCAGTCAACTCATGAGGTTAAAAAGTAACATTTTATCCAGACCTAGTCAGGTCTGTATTTGAGTGCTGGGTCTGCCTTCTACCTGATGTGGGAATTTGGGCTTAAACTCTTAAGGGCCTCCGTTTCTTCACCTGCATAATGACAGAAAGCTTGTTATGGTGAATAGCGAGCTGGCTATGGCGTCAGGAGCACCTGGGTTCAAGTCCCATCTATGATATACGTTGGCTGTGGGACTCTGGGCAAGTTTCTTAATCTACCTTTTAGGGCCCAGAGCACTCTAAACCAAAAGAATTGCAAAGGGGCAGAGAAGGTGGAAGGCACGGCCTCAGCAAACTATTCCAATGAAATTACAGGTCCAGTCTCTAGCCCTATACTACATAATGTCTAAGGCCCCTTCCAGCTCTAAAATTCTGTCTTTTTAAATTACTTCCCAGCTCTGATTGTCTATGATTCATCTTCGTATCCCTCAAAACTTCTGAAACGGTAGGGGCTCAAGGAATGCTTGGCAAATTTAATTGAATCGTGTCCGACTCTGGACATTTGGAGATGAAGGGTGGTACAGAGAGGTGAACTGATTTGCCCAAAATCACACAGCAAGTTAGTGAAAGGGCTAAAACTGGAATCCAACTTTCCTGATTCCCAGTTCAATGGTCTTTCCCAGCCCATCATGCCACTCAGTGACTTGGAGAATGTGGAGCACAAGGGAAGCTGGATCTTGGGGTACATGAGGGGGAGAGGGAGGGGGAGGGAGGGGAGAGAAGACTACAGATTGATATAGTAGCTTGTGACGTATTCAATTCAGTTCAAGGAAGGAGGGGTCAGCATATACACATTTAGAGCAAGAGTTCTTAACCTTGGGTCCCTGAACTTTTTTTTTAAATATAGATAACTATTATTTCAACATATTTGGCTTTCTTTGTAATACTATGCATTTTATCTTATGCATATAAAAACATCACTCTTAGAGGAAGGTCAGCTTTATAGTTCATGTTCTCCCTCCCTCCTCCCCTCACCTAGCAAAAATTCAAAGGCAACGTGAATTTCTCTCTTCTGTCCTTCCCCACTCCCACCCCCACTCCCCACTACTCGGTGATAATTCAAGCTATCACAAGTGTAAGGAAATCTCCGTTGCAATCAAGGGAAGCCAGGACCAGACAGAACTATCAAGGAAGGCCCAAGAGATCAGTTCCCTTCCTGTCTAGCCTTCAAGGCTCTAAATGAGCCCCCATTTCTCCTTCAGGAAGCTCTCTCTTAACAATCCCAGCCCACAATGATCACCCTCTCTCCTACAGTCCTTAGAGGATATATAATTAAGTTCCATAATAGCTGTAAAATGGCTATTATGTACAGGGCCCTGTCCTTCTTTTATTGGAGCAAGAACTGCTTGAGAATGAACAGACTGTCTTGCTTTTCTTTGTAGCCTCAGAGCTTAGCGCATTGCTCTGTAAACACAAGAAATATCTTCTCATTCATTCATTCATTCATTCATTCAACATTGGGCACAGAAAGGTAAATAAGTCCTTGACCTCATGGAGCTTGCTAATAGTGGGCTCTACCACAGGTACACAAGTAAATGACAGAAAGGAAAGGGGCAAAGGAGAGATCTAGACAAAGTACTCTAGGAAAATTATCAAGAGAGAGCAAAGACACTGGCCCCCTCCAATCAGGAGGGAGAAAGTCTTCCTAGAGAGATCGTACTTGAGCTGGGTCTTGAGAGAATAGCAATTATCAAAAGGCTATATTCTGTGTTAAGTATAAAGATACAAAGACAAAAAAAAAATAAAAATAAAACAGACCCTGCCCTCAAGGAGCTTATATATATATAAGAATGATGTTTTTATATGCATAAGATAAAATACATAGTATTACAAAGAAAGCCAAATATATATATATGTATTTTTTTTTTTTTTTTGCTTTTTGGTGAGGCAATCGGGGGTAAGTGACTTGGGTCACACAGCTAGTAAGTGTCAAGTGTCTGAGGCCAGATTTGAACTCAGGTCCTCCTGACTCCAAGGCCGGAGCTCTATCCACCGTACCACCTAGCTGCCCCTTAAGGAGCTTATATTCTAATGAAGAAAAGGACTTCAAAATGGAGAGAAGAGAAGACAGGACTTCAAGGATGTGGAAGAGACAGTCCATGCAAACACATAAGCAGGAAATACTGTGGTAGCTCTAGTAATGCAGCAGACTAAAGACAGAACCAATAGGTCTTAACAAGGGCCTAGATGTGACCTCTTCCTCTCTGTCTTCCACTGCTCTCTGGTCTCCCCAACTGGCCTGGGTGTTATTACTGGGGCAAGGACTTGTTCTTCACCTCTGTCTCAGGGCCCTGAACTTACTGACTTAAATAGATAATGAGCAGGCTTCTGTGAACCTTTTCAATGTTGGAGGATGAGCTCATAACATGAATCAGAGACGCTGATGGCCATTCTGGTCCAACTCATACCCTGTAGTGGACTACTCTCCACATCCCCAACAAATGGCCACCTAGCCCCAGCTTCAAGACCTCTAGTAGTGGGGACTGCAGTAAATCCTGGGACGGTCCATTGTACCTCGGGATAGATCTAATTATTAGGAAATTTTTCCATATGTTAAATTGAAACCTGTTAA